CCTTTTCATTGTCGCACCACAATACATCTGCTCCAATGTGACGGGGACTTCAACTTCGATATTTTTGACGCGACTGGTACGGGTCTCCTTCGACTCTTCAGACATATACGAAGTCGGTCCAAAACTCGTGAAGCGGCCAAAGCTTCCAAAGTGCCCAAACCCAAAACCAAACCCAAAATCATCCGCCCCACCACCAAAGAATTGTTGGAACACATCATTCGCGTCGTATTCCCTCGTTACTCCTCCCAACCCATCTTTCCCATACAAATCGTACGTCCGTCTTTTCTCGTGGTCACTTAAGACGGAATACGCCTCAGCAACTTCTTTGAATTTCTCTTCGGCTTGTTTGTTGCCCGGATTCTTGTCGGGGTGATACTTCATAGCCAATTTCTTGTACGCCCGCTTGATGTCTTCATCATTGGCATTCTTAGAAACTCCAAGTGTGTCGTAGTAATCACTGTCTGACATTGTAAAATGACTTTAAGGTTCTTCCCTTTAAAGCAACACTCCCTTTTGTACGACACGTGGTAACACGTCGTTTGAATACATTTTGTTTGTTTTTTTGGTGTTTTTTGCTGTTATAAACAGATATATAAATTTAATAAATTTTTAATGGTATTCAAATATATTTTTTATAATACAATAACAATAGAAATGATTAACTGTCGTTTTAAATGCTAAAAGGATTGCGGAACGAAGATTTCAAAAGCACAATACAAAACTGGTGAAGTGGTCTTTTGTGTTGCCATCAAAAAGAAACAATAGTATAAAAAGCTATACAAACAACCCAAATAGTTTTATTTTTACAAACAATGATATAAACAAATAGTACTATATTAATAGTTAAATTACAATTCAAAAAAAAGAGAAGACAAGATTATGAAGCCAAAGAATGTTATATAAAATGTTATTTAATATAGAAGAAATTATTTAGTTTTCGACCAATAGATACCCAAAACACTACAAATGGAAGTGATCAGTTAGAAAGCTAAAAACTCGATAACTTGATATGTAAATAAAATTTAAATAGAAAGAACTCTATAATTAAGATGTCATTAGAGTCTGGAGTTGTTACATCTCCCGGATGTACAAGCGATGTTTCATCGACTACTTTAAACAAGTCGATTGATGAAGACAAGTATGATGTGGCACGTGTTCAACTTGAAGAAGAGAACATCGAGCTGAAACAAAAGATTAAGACGTACGAGGCCGGCTTTCTTCAAAGTCAGAATTTGGTGAAAGAATATCGAACGTTCATTAACTACTTTCCTAAACGAGGCGAACGCTTTTGTTGTGGTAAAATCGATAAAGTGTTGAAACCAAACGACACATATGCGGTGACTTATGGAACACAATTTCCTGAGATCCCAAAAGTCGTCTGCTTTTTGAACCCAACGATCTTCAAACTGGACAACTCGTGTATAATTGTTTGTATGTATTTCTTTATAATTTTATAGTAACTCTATACTAACTTTATAATTAAATTTATTATTTCATTTATAATTAAATTATTTAATTACTATAGCAGTAGTAACACGATCAATTCTAATTGAATCCAATAACACATAGCCTTCACAAAACGGATTTATATTAAAGACAAACCAATTTTCGCCAATACAAAGTGAAGGATCATTCTATTTCTGGATCGCTTACTGTCCTATTAAACCCAAATCGGAGAAAATGGGAGAAATAGTCGACCTTTTAAAGGGCGTCAAGACATATACCGAAAAAGAAGTAGAGCTTCAAATAGTGAAATATATGAAGAAAGGGAGTGTGAATGATATCGATGGGAATGGGAGGACTTTTTTGTATTATGCGTGTGAGAAGTCGTTTGTCGGACTAGTCGAGTTTCTTTTGAATAAATCGGCGGACCCCAATATTTCAGATGAGAATCAATACTCGCCCCTCCATAAAGCACTTTCAGCGGAAAAGATCGAGAAGCGAATAGTCGAGATGTTATTAGAGAAAGGGGCTGACCGAGCTGCGAAGAATGAAAGTTTGAGTACGCCATTACATTATTTGTGTCGTGTGTCTAACTTGGGTCAAAACACGGAAACGCTGAAAGTCATATTAGACGTGGAAGATAAGACGATGGATGGTTCAGTGAGTCGGAAGAGATATGTCAATGAAGCGAATTTGGCTGGGGAAACAGCTTTAACGAATGTGTGTACCCGATCGATGGATGTTAATGCTATCCGTTTATTATGTGAGTCGGGGTCGGACGCGAATCATCAAACCAATTCTGGCATTTTTCCGTTATATTCTGCTGTTCTTAAGAAAAATACGGCTGCATTAGAAGTATTACTGAAATATGGAGCAAATATCGGCCAAATTTATAACGGGAAACCACTCTTCCAAATTGCAGAGGAAAAGGGCCAAATTGAGAAATTAAAGAAATTTATTAAAGAGAATTATATGAACAAAACGATGAGTGATGTGGACATCACGACTCTTGCAGATACTTTTGAAACAATCACTTTCCCAGTCGAATCATGGACGGACAATATTATGATGCAAAAATCAGTGTTAGTGGAACTGGATAACTTACCGCCACAAAGTCACGTGGAAAATTATTTTACTTGCACAACACATAAATATGATAGTTTACTATTTAATAATATTCATGACCCACAAGCTTGTTCATATTATTATAAAAACTATTTCAAATTAAACGAACATAACAATTACATCATTCATTCGGATAACGAGTCGTCGATTGTGTCGATCTCAGATGATACCCCGAACACCGAAAAAAAGATTAAAAAAGTCATCATCAGAACGAAACGATTTGACACTCGAAAAGTGTTTGAGAACAAAACGGACCACCAAATATTGAAGGAGTTGTTTGTCGATTATAAAGAAAAGGCGACTTTTCCGATTCGAGGGGACGCTATGTATAACGCTCTTATCAGATTTGAGAATTTCTTCACATATAACAGATACAAATTTGGCGTGTTGTACGCGGCACCGGGTCAAACGAAAGAAATGGAGTTTTATAATAACAGGACGGGGTCGGTGCATTTTGAACACTTTTTGACATTAATTGGACAAAAGACTAAATTGTATGGATACAATGGCTTTGTAGGTGGGTTGGATACAAAAAATAAACTGACGGGGGAGTACTTTGTCGCTAATAGATTCTCACAAGGAAAGATAGAAATCACTTTCCACGTCTCGACGTACCTCCCGTATATGGAAAACAATGAACAACAACTCGATAAGAAGAAACACATCGGAAATGACGTCGTTGTCCTCGTATTTAAAGAGTATACCGGAACACCAGAACCAATCGATATCACAAGCTTCAAAACACAATTTAACCACGCTATCATCGTCGTCGGTTGTGATCTGAATCAACACAATCCACCAGACCAAGTCATGTACTCCGTTAATATCTGGTGTAAAAAGGAAGTCGCCCCCGTACCCCCTTTCATTACCACTGACTTTTATGTCCACTCTCCGGAGTTCGGACAGTTCTTAGTCGCAAAAAGTTTGTTTTCGTTCATATGGAATTGGTGTGTATATAATTTTATTGTTTTATCTGATCAAACTTACATTGTAGTGATCAACGCTGAAAGATCAGCTCAAGACTCCCTCACATTCAGAGCTAAGCGGCTTACTATTAGACAAAACCAGCTTGAAAGCATGATGAACAACTTCGTTAGGTGATTCTTTCGGTTTTGTTAGTATCAATAGTATTTATTACTATTTAAAAAACTATTGATATAACTTTTAGTTCTACTTATACTTATTAATACTAAAACAAATGTTATAAAAGTACAATTATGGTAAAATAAACTATTGTTAAGTAAAGTAAAAATCAAAAGAACATTTCTGAAAAAAAACCAAAATCAAAAAAAACTTGAAAAAGGAACTTATAAAGTATAATTTTCAAAAAATGAGAGCGATCGTTTTTCTCATGTTATTTGCAACCATTTACGCGCAGGATCAAATCAGCGGAATGGGTCAGGCCGGAATAGAAGAGGTGAAAACTAAAGTACAAACGATTGAAGACAAGATGAAGGAGGTTGAGGCGTTGGAGAGGAAACTATTGATGAATGCGGACAACGACATGAACGAAGACGCTGCGAAGTTGGGGTCGTCCAGAGTCGACAGAGCAAAATCGTTAACAAAAATGAAAAGTGAGTTGGAACAACTCCAAAAGATCAGAGCACTGTTGCCACAACTTCATTTGAAAATGAAACAAATCATCGAAACACTACCAAAGAAAGAACAGTTCAGACTCATCCGTAACATGAATCTCAGACACAGATTCGACTTGGGGACTTGGCGAGACTGTGCTTAAGCGAGTTTTTAGTATTTCCAGTCGGGACAACACTTTTTGTTGTAAAGGTGAACAAAACACGATTGTTGCTGAGCCATTTTTTGGGAAACTACTTTCATATAATCCTTTTAGAAAGTTCGACAATAGTTTTTTCTTTTAGACTTGCTTCTTTTCTGATTAAAGAAAAAAAGAAGAACTGGAAAAGAAATGTCGTCTTCATTTTTCGCTGGGCACAACAAGATCATCGGTATGGTCCACGTCCACGCACTTCCGGGAACCCCAAGCTACCAACCAACCGCTCGTAGAATTAGAGGAATCATCGACAAAGCGGTTGAAGAAGCATCACTCTACAAACAATGTGGGTTGGACACGATCATTATTGAAAACATGCACGACGTCCCTTACTTGAACGCAACCGCCGGACCAGAAATCACGTCCGCAATGAGCATTGTCGGATACGAAATTAAACGACAGATGAGCAACTTGAGAGTTGGCGTGCAAATTCTTGCTGCTGCGAACAAACAAGCCATCGCAAGCGCTTTTTGCTCAGGATGTGACTTCATTAGAGCCGAGGGTTTTGTCTTTGGACACGTTGCCGACGAAGGATACATCGACTCTAATGCTGGGGAGATTTTGAGATACAGAAAGATGATTGGCGCAGACGACGTCCTCGTATTCACTGATATAAAAAAGAAACACTCGGCCCACGCGATCACCGCCGATGTTTCACTTACTGATACTGCCAAAACAGCACAATACTTCTTATCTGATGGCCTCATTGTAACAGGAACATCCACCGGTGTAAAAACAGACCCACAAGAAGTGAGAGACGTCAAGAAAGCTGTCACCATCCCTGTCTTGGTAGGGTCTGGTGTCACCCCAGAGAATATTAATGAATATCAGTTGTCGGCAGATGGTATCATTGTTGGATCGTATTTCAAAGTCGACGGATTCTGGAAGAACGAGCTTAGCAAGGACAGGATCTTAAAACTTTTGTCTGCTGTGAACGACAGCCAATGAGTAAGTGACGGTCGTTGTGCCATTTGTTGTTTACTTTTGCGCTACAGTTTATCAATATATAGTATAACCACGACAAACAATTGACAACCACATTTTATTCAACAACATTTTATGAATACGAAAATGTCCCTCATTGGTTCTCAAACTCTCGATCATAAAAATACATCTGATTTGTGTTACCTAACACATTTCAAAAACTGTTGTTTGTTAACGATCACCATCTTTTGTCTTGGGTATTTCCTCTTTTTTTCTCTCCTTTCAAACCTTTCATTCCATTTTTACAATCTCATCAAATCAGGTCGTATTTTAATTAATAATTTTCATTTGATTAGAAATAAAATGAAAACATTTTTATGTTAGGCCAAAAACGTCAAAATACGTGGGATATTTGGCAACCAAAAAAATGAGAAAATGTGATTGGCCAACTTGAAATCAAAATTCAAAACTGCAAAAAACAGACTGCCATGCAACGAGTGGACAAAACAATATACAAGGACATCCCAGAAAACATTCAAGAGTCGGGAGAAACCTTTCAGAAGCCCGAGTACATTGGCGAGGCAAAATTCAAACGCCGTAAAATGTTTGTGAATGACGAAGCTCTTTTTGTTTTTCAGTTCGACAACAAAGCAACTATCGAGTACAAACAGCGCTTGAAAAGTCCGGAACTCCAACGAAGAATTATCATTAACTTGGCTCCACCCGTCTGCACACATTTTTTTGAAAACACCATTTTTTTGTTACATCCAGACAGAAAGGTTTCAGTCATTCAATTCATGAAACAAGGTTCGAGTAAGGACTATGTGTACAATGCGCCACTCAACTTCTTCCCGTCTTCCGATTTTTTGGCTGCAAGATTCATGATTGGGTGGAATGAATATATCGCCGTGTTTACATTAGCAAAAATGATGGTCATTGATAGATTTAACACGTCGAAACAGTTCACAAGTTTCCCGTTGGTGTGCAGCGTCATTTCAGAATGCAACAGCGAGGCGTCCTTTGGGTTCCAGGATTACGTTGTCATATTTAATGACTCGGACACTAACATTTTGTTCCAACAGTATTCCGTGACAGCTGGTGTGTTAATTCAACAAGCAAATATTCCACAGGAATATAAAGAACGCAGATATAACTGTGTTGCGCATAACGAGAAGGATGTTGCTGTCGCATACGATAACGCGGTGTATATATACTCTCTTGCCGGTGAGCTGAGAACAAACACAACAACGTGCCACCCAATTAATTCGTTTAAATATAAAGAAGCACCCATTTCGTGCATTTATCTTGATAACGCGTTCTTGATTGTCGGCGATGTGTTGGGAGGAGCGTCTGTGTATACCGCTACGGGCACGTTTTTGACCCAAATTCCGCCCGAAGAAGAAGGCGGAAAGATAGAGAAGAAAGAATTGAAAAAGCGAGTGACTGCAATATGCAGATTTAACTTGTTTGTAGTTGTTGGGCTTGCTGATGGCAAAGCAAAATTCTTTACGTGGGATTACAGGTACAGCCATTTAGAAAAGAAGGAGTGTGGTGGTACAATAGTGAGGATATTCCCCCATCCGGACTTTCCCAAAGTTGTTATTGTGAGTGAGAATGGAAATGAAAAGCGGGTGGTTGGTTTAACGTATTGGTCACCAATTGAAAAGTCTTTCACGTTTATATCTCCATACCTGGCACATTCCCCGGAGTTGCGTTACGTTTCATTTATCAAGCCATTTGTCGATCAGTTGAGAATGTTTGTATCAACCGAATATCCAAATCAGTCTGTTGGGTTTAAACGAACGATACCAAGACTGAGGGGTGTTTACAATTTTGTGAAATGGCTCGAAGAAGCAGACCGGAGCCATAAAATGCCATTTCCAGTCGATTTGGTGTGGGAGTTGACAAAAGCTATGCAAGCCTATTGTTTGATGCAAGAAGACATTGCAGCAGGCAAAGAGAAAGAAGACTACTACAGATTGGTTAGAGCCGAAAACCGCATATTGATTCAAATGTCCCGATTGTGTTCTGTCGACACGGTTTCTATATCACTGAAGGACAACCCCAATTTCCCAGACCACACGTACTTGAATGATTTCACACACAATTTCAAGAAAGTGTTGAGCGCTCAGATGTTCAAGCCAATGATTTCTGATAGCGACTCGACGAACTACAAAAACTATTTGTGGAAATTGCTGAAAGCGTTATTTGATGACTACACCGACTTTGCCGACACGTTGGAGAGTATGGACATTTTAATGTCAACGATAAGTAGAGACAATTTGTACGCCTTTGTCAGCGCAATCAAGATTTATGGAAGGTACATCCAACTCATGCAAGACATTAAAGAGACTGCCTGGACCATTTCTCAGATGCTGAAGATCAAAGAACCGGACAGGTGGTATTATGGCGGTGGACTCTATATGGGCAAGAAGATGCCCGAGCTATGCTCTGACAACCCAAATGTACCCGAAGAGGAATATCCGTTGAAAATGAATTAATTTGTTGTTGCTTAAGGTGCTTTATTATCCAAAATAGTTATACTCTGATGGGTACAACAGCGTGAGTCTACCAAAATACGCAACATAAACCGGCACGTTTGCCAATATGTTGTACTATGTAATTGATATATAACACAAAATAGAAGTATACAACTATATTACGCATGTACAGAAGTCTTTTTCATGGAGTTAGCCTGTTGAACCCAATATTGTAGTGTGCTTGGGCACAAGTCTGAGTACAAGTCGGGGAGTTTCTTTTGGAGATGATTTGTTGCATGGGTTAATCCAAGTTCTTCCGCAAGTTTGACTGCTTGAGCTTTTAAGGCGGGGTCCCATCTTTTTTTCTTGTATTTGCGTTCCTTAACAAGACGCGGCTTTTTCTCGTTAATTGATGAAGACGAGACTAAGATGGTATTTGTGTCGATGACTTCATATAGCCTTCTCGCGACTGGCTTAAAAGAGGATAGAGTCATATTGTGAATATTATAGTGTGAATATGGTTTAAATATAAGTAGAGGCCTCCGACAGTGTAGGACGACGAGAAAGCATTGGAAAGAATCTTCTGATCGAAGAGTCTACAATTCGCAATACTTCTTGACCCAAATTTGGGTGCTTTTTTTTGATCTGAACGCTTTTGATTTCTTTGATTTTTTTTTTCGTTTCTTCTTCATCATTCTTGTCGCATTAGCTTCTTTTTCGCTCGCTTTGATTCATTCTGCTCAATTATTTGAACCCCAGTCCATGTTCCTATGTCTCCACTTTTTCAACCAGACAGAATTATTTAACTATATTTATTAATTACAATTGCTATATATTATAATATTTTTTTGATGAAATAATAATACTGTTCGTGTGAGACAAAAGTACTTTTTTTAGTGGAAAATGGTGAAATGCAGTTTTTGGTATTTCTTTTTCTTTTGCAAAAAAAAAAGTGTTGGGTTTTCAAGCTTTTTTATTCTTTTGGTTCATTTAAAAACTAAAACGAAACTATAAAGTACCAATTTATATGATTCGAATGAAATTATTTTGGCTTGCCTATTAGGCGGATTTCCTGATATTTAACATCTGTTTTTACTGTATTTTACCAGAAAAAATACACCGAACTAAGCGAAACTGGCCGATTTTTCTCGTGCTATCTTATCTTGTAAAATGTATTGAAAAACAAAAAAAATCCCGTTTTTTACACAAAAATCAAGGATTTTATTATTAAAAAATAAATAATGTTTTAACAATACAATTTAGGCAACATTAGTGACAAAACAAAACTAATAATTAAAATTTTATAATTATTGTTATATTTTATCATTAAGTATAACTTTTTAATTTTGATTTTGCTAAATTTAAAAAAGAAAAAGATTACTTTTTGTTTTATTTTTTTCAAGATATATTTATAAAAACATATAATTCATTAATTACTTATTTTAACAATTATTTATTATTAGTATTAGTGTATATTTTATTTATATTATATTTTTAAAATATAAAAAAAAACATTTTAAATTGTTTCAAGTATGAGTAATAATAATTATTATTTATAAATTAAATTGGAAGTAGCCATAAGTTGAATAAAAAAATGTTTTATTTAAAATAAAAATGTTTTATTTTAATTTATTTTACAATAGACAATATATAATAATATTAATTTTTTATTAAACTCAAAACAATTAAAAACATAACAATTGAATAATTAAATTATAGATTATTATACAATTTGTTTTTTATTATAACCTACAATATTATAAATGCAGATGACATAATTGAATTAATTTTTTAATTATAATAATAACAATTATTAGAATTATAGTATAATAAACTTTCACCAACTGTTTCAAACTTTAATTTTTCTCTAATCACACAATTTGTGATTTTGTTTTCTTTATTTTTGAGATAAAAAGAGAAAAAAGAAAAAAGATTAACTTTAAATCACAAATGACAACGCAAGTCGGTAGATCTAACTCTGAAGACCTTTTTAAGGGTTTTTCAAAACCAACAGAAGCTAATAACACGATTCCAAAGGTTGATAACGTTTCTGCTCAAAGCGTTCAAAAACAAACACAACTTGTTACTGAAACAGTGCCGAAGACGGAACCCCTTCCATCGAAACCCATTATAAAAGAAACACCAAAAGAAGATGCCACAAATAATGTTACACAGAAGGAAACTACGGGTGCAACTATCCAACGATCAACAACCCCTGAACTCCTTCCACAACCAGAAACAACAGAAACACAACCCATTATACAATCAACTGACACTCCAACTCGAGACGAATACGACGACCCAATACCTGATCTTCGTAATGTGCCAACGTTGTCAGTTCTGTTAAAGCAAACATATGTCCAACTGCTCGATATAAGAAATTCGGTATTAAAATATGGAATAGTTGGGATCGAAAATGAAAAGTACTGCAGAAAAGTAGCATGGGATGCTCAGAGTCGATTGAAGTTGGAATCGAAGAAGGATTATGACGAAGTCAGTAAACCGGGTGAGTATGCTTCAGAGATTTATTATTACGCCCAGCGCGCAAACACGAGAAATGACAACGAAAAATTCAAAAATATTTATTGTAAAATAGCGAATGCGGTGTGCAACCATTTCTGGAGAGCCGAAGGGAGAGATTTGCATGGTGTTGTATATGTTGCGGCAGCTTTTTTGCGAAACATAGAAGAGGAAATTGCTTATAAGTGTACATACCGCTTCTGTGCACGTACCACTGATCACATGAGGGAGGATAACACTTGGCCACAAGTTTTCTTGAAAGTACTATGTAACCCTCACTACGAATTGATGCTCAAAGTGTTCAGAAAAGTACTCACTTTTAAGCCACATATGTGGTCGTATGGATTGGACACATTCAGAGGAAAGGACGAAACAGCACTGCTCGACTTTTATATGTCAACACGCCCTTCGTACATCATTTATGTCACAGCTGCTGAATTACTTTTAAACGCTGAAGCATGCCTGGAAGCGCTGGAACCATTCGAGGTCATTAAAAACGCGCCGAAAAACGTTAGATTGATTCTAAACAAAGCTTATGAACTCAGTGTGACATCTCCAAAGGAAGTCAGGAGATATATCGACTTCATTTGAGTGTTTTATTCGTGTGTTTTGTTGATTGCTTACCAATAAACAACTTGTTAACACTTAAAATAACGCCCTTATTTTGTTTTGGCCTGTTTTTACAGGGATATTAATACAATTTTTGATGATTTTCTTTTTTTGGCTTGTGTATTGTTTATGCACATTATATAAACTCTAAAAAAACGGAAATTTATTTAATAAACTCGAGATTTCCCGATTTTTAGACCACTTGAATTTTGTTCAATGTTATTTAAAGTGTTTATATGTAATAATAATACTAATCTTTAGAATCATAAATATATTATAGTTTAAATCAATTATTTATTTATTACATTACACTGTAATAAATTCACTGTAATCAATTGTAAAGTAAAAAAATAATAAAAATATTTTTAAAGTATAGATAGTTTCTTTAATTTGGTTAATCATCAATATATTATATATATCATATATTATATAAAACTATATCTATTATTATTGTTATAAAAAATAACAGTTTTGAAATTTCATTACATCTCATTCGATTAAAATGTAATAATTAGAAAGTCAAGAGGTAATAAACATTTGTTCTCGACTTAATTAAAAAAATTATTATACTTTATAGTTTTTTTGTTATAAGAACAATTACTTTTTATTTATAAAGATCTTTTATTGATTTTCAAAAACATCAACAAATCTTTGGGGAAATATAAACCACTACTTATTTTTGGTTCATTAATAATTATTAAATATTAATAAATATTATTATAATATTAAGAAATACTATTTTCAAATCAGAAAAAGTAAATTGTGTATTTAATTATTTTGATAATTAAACGTGTATTATTGATTATAGTAAAATATATCAATTAAATGGTACATTGAAAATGAAAACCAAGTTGAAATTAAATATAAACAGTTTTTTGGAATGTTAATAGGAATTCATTTCCATTCCAATTTTCTTATGATGAATAGTCCAATGCTAAGCCCACTTCATCCAGCCCAACAGAAAAAACGCACCCGATCACTCAACTACGAGCACTCCTCCCCACTTTTTACAAAGAATGAAAACAAAATCGCATCGAAACCGACAATTTATGCGTATTCGTACGACAATAAATACTCACAAGAAGAATTCCTTGCTTCCCTATTCTTCGAAACTAACTCAGAACTACTCAAAGCTTATTATTGGACCGTTTGTTATAGAACAGTATTAAGTAATTAAATTATAATAAATAAAACTATACAGTGATAATTAATGAAATTACGTGTAGCTTGGCAATAATACCCACTTCGAGCAATTTACTCTGTTGAACTACTTTTCAACACGTGGGAAGCTGTGTTTGTTGTTTGAAAACGTCGTCGACTTTGAGTTTGAAAACCCCCCCGAAAACATTTTGACTTTTTTGACACATTCGCACTTTGTCCAGATGTACAACATTTACTTGCAACATTATTGTGCTAAGTCTATATATGATATCACACAAAAAGTGGTTAAGAGGATCGAAGAACTTAATGAAGAAACACAAACCCTATCTTTTCAAGAGATCATACACTCGCTGTGTAATGTACTCTATACAACAGTATTTCAAATACCTGAGCACTTGGCTATATTACTCAAAATAGTGTTTCTTAAAGTCCAAGAGAGTTATGGGAATAACCTTGCAGTCCATTTCTTTGTAGTTTTATTCTTCAAACATTACGTCGCAATTCCTTTCATCAAATTCGCACCATTCAAAACTGCGTTGATTAAATTGGCGACGTCGTCTATGAATAACAAAACAGAGAGATCCGCTAGAAGTTTGTTGAATGTGTCATACTTCTTGCTATCGACTTTTGTTCATTCCCCTGTTATTACATCCACTAAAATCAGTCCCCCATGCCAAATCACTAAAACGCGAGAAAATATGGTCAAAGTCATCAAACAAAATTTCAAGGAACTTGTGAAAGCAAATGTCAGTGTGATAGCTTTGGACACCATCACTAGCAAAATTGGCGACTCTGGAAATCATCTCGACTACCAAAAGACTTCGGAGAAGTGTGGAGAAGTCTCCGAGTTTTTTACTGAGAGAATGGATATTGCAGTACAATACAATGAGAGTCTTAAGACTGAAGTTCAGAGGATGGAGAAGATTAACAAACGACTGAGAGAAAAGATCAAAGAGGCGCAGTACAATGAATACAATGTATTGTGATTGGATTTGTTGCATGTATTTTATTCAATGTTGTTTAATCTGACCCATTTTGAATCACAACTTTTAACCTTCTGTATTCTTTTAATTCAACTTTGAAGATATATAATTTGTTATTTGCTCTGTTTACTGTTGTAAATATATATTGTCTATAATATCACTATATTGAAATAAAGACATCAGATAACTCTTCTTATTTTTGTTATAAACCTCAATCTCTATAATACATATAAGAGATGAAAGCAATAAGCGTATGTGGAGGTCTCAAAGTATCACAGTACGTAATAGGGTTCATGAGATTTAAAAACAAAACAGTTGAACAAGCAGAAGATTTTATACAAAAGGCATTGGAGTGTGGTATTAACTGTATTGACAATGCTGATATCTATGGAGGCGGGGAGTGTGAAAAGCTTCTTGGTCGAGTTTTCGAAAAAAGACCATCACTGCGCGAAAAATTGGTGGTACAAACGAAGTGTGGAATTTGTCGGGGGTTTTACGACTTGTCGAAAGAACACATTTTGAGAAGTGTGGACACTTCGCTTGGGCGAATGAATATCATGTATATCGATATCCTTTTGTTACACCGTCCAGACGCTTTAATGGATTACAAAGAGGTGGCAGACGCTTTGAAGACGCTCTTTTTTAATGGGAAAGTTCACTACTTTGGTGTGTCAAACTTTTCACCAATTCAAATTGATTTACTCCAAAAAGAACTTCCGTTCAAGTTGTGGTTCAACCAAATCCAATTCTCAGTTGTGCATTGTCAGTCCATCGACGAGTCGGTCCACTTCAATACAACACATGAAACGTCACTTGTTCGCGATGGAAATGTATTGGACTATTGCGCTTTACATGATATACAAGTCCAAGCTTGGTCGCCACTTCAAGTCGATTTTGTCAAAGGCACTTTTATCAACAATCCAGAATACAAAAAACTCAACGAAAAGTTGTGTGAATTGTCCCAGAAATATGATGTGACTCCCCATGAAATAGCACTTTCTTGGATTTTACGCCACCCGTCTCACATCCAAGTTGTCACGGGAACAACAAATCCAGAGCACTTGGTTAATGAGGTGAGTGCGTTCAGCTTCGAGTTAACAAGAAAGGAATGGTATGAACTCTACCTCTCGACAGGTAAACCTCTTCCATAAACAAACATAATCAATTAATTAGATTTCAATTCGTATTTTGTTATAAATTGCACCTGCTTCTCCAAGTCTCCCAGTGGAATGTTGTCAAGCTCCTCAGTCCGTATTTTTAAGGTCACCTTGTCCTTTTTGTATTTCTTTAACAGTAACATGTTAATGTTTGATGTCTCAAACGAGAATTTCATATAGCGGTCTGAATTCTCATTGTAGATCTTCATAAACTCGGCGTAGTTCATTCCCTCTTCTTTATTGCAACTTTCCTCCTTTACCACTAATTCATTGATAATCTTCACCATTTTTCCGTCTTCTTCAATCACCTTTGTTCCGTCATTCTCAATCTTAAAATCATCTCCGCTTTTTATATTTTTAATTTTATTGTTCTCGATTGCTCTCTTTCTCCACAACGGATCTATCGCCAAAGAAATATACAACGCGCTACCAACAGCGCCAATGTTATCTGAAAATTTGTAATCAATCTTGAAAACCCTTTCGATCTGCTCCAAAATTGGTTTTGGTCTGAACCCAAATCCCGTCACAACACAAGACTCGAAGTTTTCTTTTTTCATATTGGCTGTTTTCAGACAAAAGTCGATGAACGAATGCATTCTCCCGCTTTCATCCTGAAGGCACAAAAAGTATTCGTCTTTTGTGATTTTCAAAATTCCGAAATTTTGGGCTTCCAATTCGCATTCATTCGCCTCGGAACAAAACGAACTGTTCACACGCTTCGTCAATCTTTCAACCTCTTTTTCGCTCTCGTTCTGCCCAACCTTCTTTCTGATGAGATCTGAGACATTTTGGTCGACGTTTCTCATTCCATATTGCAAAATGAAAGAATGAGATGCGCGTGATTGATTTTTGTTTTGAGATACAAAAGTGAGTGTTGTGGTATAAAAGCCCACATCTAATAATGCATAATTCACTGCAACGGGGCAGTCATACTCGAACAACAATTCTTCCATCGGCCCAACGAAGTTATACACACAAAACACCACCAACCCAATATCTTTTCCAGCGCGTATTAACGTGCCACTCAACTGTTCGAGTAAACGTGGCTTCAAAGATATGATCGCGACCTTCGCATTTGTTTCATTCTTTATTTTTTGTAACATGATTGCGATAACACACTGCGAAGAGATAACGCCATATTCTTTAAAGTCGTATGACTTGATATCTCCATTGATTGTGGAATACCCCAAATCTCGCTTTGCCTACATGTTACTTTATTTGACACAAAACACAAACAAACCGATGGACTCATGAAAGGATATACCTTCGACTTTTCAAGAGTGATCCGGTTTTGAAGTCCCTTATCTCCAAAATTGGGAAAAAAGTGAGCTGTGTAGTAATAGTTTGTTTTTGTTGCGACTCGAATTGAGTACTCTCCCCACTCGATACCAATGATATCGTCTGGTGTGAAACCGTTTCGTATCGAATCGAAAACGTCAGCAGTTTGTGCTTTATTTGTTGTGTCGGTATTTTGTTGTGTTGGCTTTGCATTTTCACTTTCGTTACCTTTAGACGTATCCGAGTCGGTTTTTTCGTCGGTGGTCGATATCTCTTTTTTCTTGTTTTTTTCTTTTGGAATTTTGTGTTTCAGTTGTGAGGTACATCTCTTCTCTTTTTTAGAAGTTCTTTGTTGTTGAGTTGATTTATGGGGACATGGTGCGTTTTTCTCTTCTTTGTTTACATTGTTACAAGTATTTTGTATGTTGTGGAATATGTCCAAAACAGCTTCTTTTGAACATCTGCAAAGGAATGGTATTTCTTTAATACAACACAAAAGACTTATTAATTTTTGTGTGAGTGTATAACAAAAGTTCTCTGTTTTTTTGTGTTGTTTGTTGTATCTTTGTTTATTTTTAGTCACACCAAAACTGACAACAGCAATGAGAATAAACATTATCAATACCACCACTATAATTAATGACGTACTCAACAGCATTCGGTTTTTGTCATTCACAGTTCGCAGGAGTTTCCCTTTCAATGTTTTACTACTCCTGTCTTTGCAAGGAGTACTATTTAAATCGAATAATTTTAATTTAAATATGTCCATTCATTAATCCCAATTATTTTTTAATTAATGATTACCTCATGGGTATATTTAAAATCATTTCACAGGTTTTCTTATATCTCCATAGTATTAAATATAACCCGAATTAATTAATACAAATACCTCTAAATTTTTTTATTAGTTCGGGTGTGATCAGGATTCCAACCAAATTGGGAATGGCGATCAAAAATCCAAAGTAATAAAAACCATTAATTACGATAGAACATGTATTATTCCTCAATATATTACAATGACTCTGAATTTCGTTTCAAAGAGGTACATTAATTGTTATTTAATACTTTTTGAATGGGGTGAGTTTTTTATAATGAGATAACAACAATTAATTTATTTAAAAAGGAAAACTATTCCGAATAGATAATAATAATTATATAATAATAATATAAGAATATAATAAACAGCACTAATTTATTGTTGCTGGCACTGAGCGCCTCCTTGTTGACCGTCATCATCGTCGTCATCATTGTCATATCCTCCACGAGTAGAAGATGATCCGTTATCGCTAGGTGGTGCTGTTGATTTCATTAAAGTGCATTTAGTGTAAGTGTCTTTCTCAGCCGGAGCAGTTTCTCCTTTAGGCAACAGTTCCTTCAATTTCTCGACATTTTGTGCGAGACTTTCTTTAGTAGGCAATACGACAGTGAAGTGGATGTAGAGATCTCCATGAGTAGATTGATGTTTAATAGGGAACCCTTCCCCCTCTATTTTCATATATGAATTTGGTTGAATGACGTCCTTTGATTCGACATATAATTCTCTTCCGTCCAAATGTTTCATAACAAAATGTAATCCAGTCAATGCCTCATTCAGTCCAATAGTCTTTTCTACTAACAAATTGTTTCCAATTCTCGTGAATTTACTATTTGGATTTGTTAAGATAACAAAGACGACATCTCCAGGGACCATATCAGGGGCTTGATCCGATTCCCCAGCAAATGCAATAGCTTCTCTTTCTCGTGTCCCCGGTTGGACAACTATTTCTAAAATCTTTTCTTCTTGTACAACTCTTAACCCTCGGCAACTCGGACACTTATCTTTGTCATCGACTTGCTCCCCTTTCCCTTTACAATCGGGACAGATCTGTTGACTTTGCATGATACAATTTCCTCGGCGCTCAGTCATCATGACAGCTCCTTGGCCTCCACACCGTTGACACTTCTTTAACTCCTTCCCACTCTTCGTCCCTTTTCCTTTACATTTGGGACATAAGACGTCGTGCGTGATTTTACGCTTGAAGGTCTTTCCATTGTACAAATCCTCTAAATTGCACTTCAGTGGCACTTGAACAGTACGGCCCTTGCGCGGACCAGAACGCTGACGTCCACCAAACCCAAATCCTCCACCACCAAAGAATTGTGAGAAGATGTCGTTCATGTCGAAACCAGACATACCGCCTTCCTCTAACCCTTTCTTACCATATCTGTCATAGACTTCTCTCTTTTTAGAATCACTTAAGACGGAATACGCCTCAGCAACTTCTTTGAATTTCTCTTCGGCCTGTTTGTTGCCCGGATTCTTGTCGGGGTGATACTTCATAGCCAATTTCTTGTACGCCTTCTTAATCTGTTCCAATGTACATTCAGCTGGAAGACCGAGCGTGTCATATAATCCCATTTCCTTTGGCATTGTGTTGAGTCTTGTTCAAATAGAGTTTGAAGTTCCTTTTTATAATGAAGAGTGGGGTTTCACTAAATTAGTCCAAGGGGGGACATTTCCAGTCTATAAAGACGTGGATACACTAAATTCTTTATTAATATGAACTTTTACTTATCAACTAATTTAACAACTAAGAATCGTTTTATTTCTTGTGAAGGCGCAAAAAGGGCCTGTATTCCTTATTGCAAAATATTTGGCAAGATTGTTTCCTTGTTATTCATTGGTTCTTTGATGAAAATGATGTTTGGTAACACGTCACTATGAAAGATATGACTGGGCATTTATTGATTAAATTGTTGAAATTGTCATAAAAAATCGGGATAATAACGGTGATGGTACTCGGTTTGTTGGTCACAACGTGGAGATGATTCGATCTTTCATCATGGGTTGTATTATTTTTTAACATATTTATATCGTTATATATATAACAAATATATCATTATATATTAGTTTGTTATCCTTCACTCTTTTTTAAATAATCAAAATTTAACTGGTTTTTCTATGGTTATTTTTTAGTTCATTGTATTTAACCATTTTTTTTAATAAACCAAAAATTGTATTTAGGTTTTTTAATATAATTGAGTTTTAATAATAACCAAATGATAATGTATGGTTCTCATCTTAATTATTAAATATTAATATGTTAACCATTGAATAATAGTTAAACTGTTCAAACTAGTAATTTGATACTTGTTACTATTAATATTAATACTCAATTCAAGCAACAAGGACAAAGACTCATAAAAGAGTTTTAGTGATTTTTGAACGACCAGAACAATGAAAACAGATGGTGAAGTGTTCAAAGTGCCAAGTGAACCCTGTGTGCACAAAAACCCCAGAGGGCGAGTTGGTCTGTAAAACGTGTTTTATTGAAGTTTGTTTTCAATTTTGATCATTGTTTTTCTGCATTTCGAAATACGAAAGAACACAAAGTAACACAAAAGAGAGTGGAAACAATTGTGTATGACTGCATCAAGTCGTTCAATCTCATCCGACCAACCGACCACATCACGATTGGTGTCAGTGGGGGCAAAGACAGCACAGCTTTGGCAACTATGTTGACAAGAATTGAAAAACAGCACCCAACAGGTGCAAAGTACACATTAGTTGCTGTTGATGAAGGGATTGTTGGTTACCGAGATCGTTCACTGGAGTGTGTCCATTGGTTGGAAGAATATTTGCAACTTCCGTTGAAGATCATTTCCTACAAAACCGAATATGGAATGACCATGGACGAGATTGTTTCAAAGGGTGGTCGTAATGCGTGTAGCTATTGTGGTGTTTTGCGGAGGCAGTGTTTGGAGAAGGCCACAAGCGAAGTTGGTGGAAATGTGATAGCCACTGGGCACAACGGCGACGATGTGGCTGAGACGGTTTTAATGAACTTTTTGCGAGGTGATGCGGTCCGTCTTGAGCGTTGCAAGTCTCTTTTGCGCGAGGAAGTTGGCGACATTGTGCGAATCAAACCCTTCAGTCTCTTGACGCAAAAAGAGGTTGTGTTGTACGCTCATTACATGAAACTGAAGTACTTCAGTGTTGAGTGTTCATATGCAGGGACAGCCTTCCGAGGCAACGCACGAACCTTTTTGCAAGAGACTCAAATCAAATTCCCATGGATCGTCAGGTCTTGTGTCATCTCCAACGAACAAGCTTCTGTTAAAATCAAAGACAAACAACAGGTAAAGCTTAAAGTGTGTAAGTTGTGTGGCATGAAGACGAGTAGCGACGTTTGTCAGGCTTGCAAAATGCTAGCCGAGCTTAGGAAGGGAGCTCCCAAGATAGAGCTCACTAAATAATGATTACGCCCCATTTTAATTTCTTCTGAAGACTTTTTCGCCTTTTACCACCAGTTCTTTCCTCCAGTCTAAAAAAAGACATTATCAGATTTTTTTGTTCATCATTTTTGAGACAATCTCACCGCTACATTCTCATATTTTAAACTATACTATTTTAACAATAAAATTATAACTGATAGTAAATCTAACAAAAAATCAATCTAAATGAGATCGAGAAACAAGAAATATTAAAAAAGACAAAAAAATGGAAGAAAAACTTGAAACCCAAAATGATACCGAAGAGCAAAGTGAAAGTGGTAAACCCAATTGTGAAAAAAGCGAAAACAACGCTGGACCACTCGATGGGATCTCGAAGTTCACTTGGAAAAATTTCACCGGTCCCAGAAATGGCCTCGTCAAACACAGAGACGTCTTCGTCATTGCCGCAATCAAGTTACCCACCAACCACACTTTTTTATGTTTGCTATTATTAACGCGATAAAACAGTTAGAGTTATTTATAGTTCAATTGTGACTAAACAATAACAATCAGCAATACGACACAGACGGATTCGACGAATTGACAGTACAACAAATCAGACTCTTCTTACAAGAAGAAAAGGGGTTATACCTCACAGACGACTACATACAGTCAATGATATCAAACGTCCTGATGCAGACGGATAAGATCAAAGTCACTGATTTCGAAAAATTGAATAGCTTCATTAATGAAAACGCAAAGACTCTGGCAGAACAGTCCTCACTATTTAATACACCGGAAAATAGACATGATTTGTCGTTGTACCCACAACAACACGACTTTGATCGAATGGCCAAAACAGTTTGTTTTGTTGTAGCAACGAAGAGTGTTATCATGTGATCTTAGTTTGCTAATAAATAGATGGGTGACAGAAACTTTGCTCACGAAACTCAAAGCGAACAAGACGTGATCAACGAATGCGTGAATTTGACAACGAAAGATAAGGTCGACGGGAAAGATCTAATTGTGAAGGATGTTAATATCATCCACCAAGAGAAACCTCACCTCTCAAACGAAACTATTGATGACGCGTTGAAAGGAATTTCATTCAAAGACCTACCACCTTTCCAGAAAAGTGTACTTAACATGATTTTCGGAAAGACCACTGAGATTCAAAAAAGAAAAATCGCGTTTGAAAAGGTGGTTCCAGAAGAGTATGCAGACCCGCTGTTACAATGTGGCGAAGATAACACAACAGAAGATACCCCAAATATCAACATTTTGAGAGACGACGCTGCTAAACAAACAAGCACGAGACAGATATACAGAAACCTTTTCGACCAGTATGATCAGACGTTTGACCCAATCGATGATAGAGAAGTTCTCTGCGGTAAACGAGAAATATCATTGATTAATCCTCATGAATTCCAATGCGATGTTTGGATGTTTGAAATACCACAATTAAAGTCTGGAAAAGATTGCCCAAATGATAAAATCCATGGGGTGTTCTCGCTCTACGATATCACAATGGACAGAAAGTTGATCGAAAACTTTTATGTTGACTTTCCAATAGACAAAAGAAATTCAACAAAGGATTCTGTTTGCATGTGCGTCAATTGGATGGATCGAGTGTTCAAGCGTGGGGAACACAAGATAAAGGCCGTTTTGATGCTTTATAAATCTGCTGAGATTGACGTATATTCTGCAAGAGACGCGTACCTGAAAGACGACAAAAAGAAGAAGTCTCAAGGAGACAAAGATAATTCGAAGAAGACCACAAACTACAAACAATTTTTGGGAATCGGTGTTTGTGACGTTGGAGAGATCATGACCGGAACTGAAACGACGTACTCAACAAAAGATCTTCCGATATACCGAGAAGATATAGACAAGAAAAGCGATTTGGATGCTTTTCTAAAGAGCGAGCCAAAATCGAAAATTATGAATTTAACTTGGGGATTCTCATTGAAGAAAATCATCAAAAAGGAGGATAGAGAAAGTTTCATCAACGGTGATAATTCCAAGAAGCAGTTCATTCAAAGTGATTATACACTGAAAGATCCATCCGGTTACGTTGTAAGAAATTCTCCACCGAACGCAAAGGTGATCCGTATGATGGAGTCTTTCATGTCGATTGAAAATTACAAAAACTTTTTCCTGGACTTCACCAACAACGTGTATATATCGCCAAGAGAGCTGAATCTCGTTTCGTTATCACCAAAAGATCGCAAGAAGACAAAGTTCTTAATAACGTGTTACTTCAGATGTTCAGACAGAGAGCTGAACCCATCAAGTTGCATGGAAGTGTTTTACTCGAAGACTCATGAAGATAAATTTGTGTCAAGTGTTACCACAACAGTTTCCATTGGAAACAAGGTTGATTACTATCTCGACGAATTCAAAGTGAAGTTGCCAGTCAACTTGAATGATCAGCACCACTTCTTCTTTTTAATCGAGGACGTCACGTTTCCAGACGAACAAAAGAGAGACACGGCAAAGTATTTTGCTTACAGACCCATTTTTGAAGGAGGAAAGCTTATTGACAACATGGAACATCCACTCAAAGTGTACACCGAGAATGGTATCACCGGCTACATGACTTCCACTGACAAACAAGAGGATTGTGTTGGAGAAAAGAAGTCAACACTAAAGGTGAACATCGACATTCAAAGCTCAATATTTGCTCAAAACAAAACTTTATTCGAACTTTTGGAAAAAGTGTCAACTGACTACTCAGTCGAAGACATCGAACCGCTTCTTAATAACTTGAAAACAGTCACAGTTGTTCAAATCGTTCACTTTTTCCCAGTGATCATGCAAAATCTGTTCTGTTTGTTTTCAGAAAAGAAGAAAATTGAAACCACACAAACACCACCATTGGAGAAGAAAGAAGAACCAAAAAAAGAAGCAACTTCAAGCGGTAGACTTGATGATAAACCAGAAGTGTTGAATACCCCAAGAAATTTCGAGTCTCCCACCAAGAAAACGAGAATGAGCAAAAGCGAGGTTCACAACACCGACATTGTCTTCATCTCGATTTTGAAGGTGTTGTCAGCCATGACAAGAGAGGAGAAGGTAAAGGTTGATGGGTCACAAGTCAGACAAAGAAACCACATTTTGGCATCATACGTTGATTATTACTACACAAATGGTGAGGACAACGAAGAAAAATCGGATAATATCCCAGTGTTCCAAAAATTGGTTTCTTCGATGTTGTTCTATTTCGAAAAACTGATGGGACTTTCTCAAGTTATTCCTTCAAACACAGTTGCAGTAGCGTCGGAACAAGATGACCAAAGAATCGCGCTTGCACCTGTTGCCATTGAATACTGTTGGTTCTTCTTGGATATCATCATAAAATCGTTAACATTGTACCTTGACAAAATGTCCATCTTCGATTCGTCAAACAGAATCGAAAAGTTGAGACAACTTGGAGAAGATGCCATATTTTCAAAATTCAACAACAACGTCATTAAACTGTCTTCTGTATTAGCACGTGTTGTCAGAATTAGACTGAGTAAAAATGTACCAGAAACTGATGGACTCTTCTACTTGAACGCAGACTTTGCATTGTTTGTAAACGATCTTGTGAGAGTGTACACCCCATCAATCGGGTTTTCTGTTATGTCGACTTATGTCACGATTTTGTCAAGATTATTGGATTTGCAAACTAAGACGTACTTTATCCCGTTTGTATCCCCACCAATGCAACCACCACTTAATGACTCCACGTTGTTCAAACCAGGAAAGGATATGGTGAACATGTGTTGGCAAGCCATTCAGTTGCTTCGTATTGACTTTTTGAATGTGCTGTCTTCGTACCAATACTTTTATGAATTGAACATTCCTCTGCTTATCAAAAGTGATACAATACAGAGTGTTGGAGAATTGAGGTCAATACTAAATGAACGCCACTTTTTTGCGAATGCAATCGAAAATTCGTTGATGGACATGATGTCCCGAAATGATAATGTTTCGAAGTACGCATTGTTTGTATTTTTGAAACGAGTAATAATGTGTGATGTTGACAAACGTTTTGCCAAAAAGAAGGAACAAATCGCTCAATTTTTCTTGCCGTTCTTACTTGATTTCATTGACAATTTTGACAGACTCAGCTCTGTGTGGGGTGTTGACTCAAAACAGTTTGAGACACAGGATTTCTATTTGTGCGCAATCTGGGTATTAAAGAATGTGAATATGCAATTGTTGCAAAAATATGTTTCTTGCGAAGTCACTTCAAAGGTGTTGAACTTTATTCGTCTTCTCTCAAGCGCCAAAGATATTTTAAGTAAATTGCCAACGAAAATATCTGAAGATGATCGTGCCAATTACAGACGAGTCGGGAAGAAGTGTTTGACAACACGAAATGTGTTGACAGTTGAGTATATGGATAAATTCAAAGTGAGTGACAATGAGAAGGCACGTCTGCAGATGATGGTTGTTGAACCCTTGGTGAAGAACGAGGAAAAAACGGGCGAAAAGATGCCACGACAACCAGTGAAGTATGAGAAAGGCATTCAAGAAACTTTGATGTTCGGACCATCGCCAGGACTTGGTAATGGAACGATGTTTGTTAAACGAACCGCTAAACTGGAGAAGATGCTTGGATTTAGTAAAACGGTTGCGGAGTATATTCAAAGAAATCCAATTCAGGACAACGTAATATACGACGATGTGCTGCTTGTTATTTTGGATGTTGTAGACTGTTTGTTTGATTGTCTCTTTGTGAATAAAGATGTTGATGAAATGAAAGAAATTTGCGACTTCATTAGCAACAAGTTGTTTGTAGCAAATCCACCAGCCCAGTACATCAAACGATTCTTCCAGTTCATCAGAAAGACGGTGAGAACGAAAGGAGAATATCTGTTCAAAACAAACTTGGATTTTACATACAATTTGTTGAGGGGAATAATTTCTTACTGTAATGTGAACGACATCGATATTAGAACTGACGCCACATCCGTGTTGTATCTCTTCGTCAAGACAAATCACGAGATTTTGAAAAACACAGAATGTATGAAGATTCAAGTTGTTGCCGCGCTTGCTTCTATGGATAGTGTAAAAGACGCCGCACTAAACGGTGACCGAGTGGAGAAGATGGACAAATTTAAACGTGCTTTAAACACTTTAGAACAGTGGGCGAAACTTGACTTTTCGCAAGAGAGGTTCTTTGGAAAGCAGGAAGAACTGACACGAGGGAAAGACAGCAGTAATGACATTGTTGATGCGAACGCTTATGAGACATACAGAGCCAATGTTTTTAACAGACGAATGGACTTGATGAAAAACGTTGAAAGCGATGAAAGTGGTGGTGACAGAAAGTGGATTACCAAAGACCGTGTTATCAAGCAACTTTTGAATTTGTGGAAATCTGATGAGGTGGCTGCAATCACTAAATTTGGAGAAGACTTGTTGAAAACGTTTGAACCGAAAGTGAAAACAGAGCAAAGTATTGAAACTTTGAAAATTAACACGTTGCACTTTTTGGGTGATGTTTTGGAGAAAGTGAGAAATTGTGTTGGGTTCAGTGGAGAGCACTCGATTCCTAATGAAAAATACAAGACTTTAGCGCTTGGAAAGACAAAAGAAGTTGATGCCAAATTGGAAGAGTATAGAAAGATGATCGAAGAATTCAAAAAGGTTGAGGCGGATATTATAATTCCGGTTGAGGAATTGGAGGAAACAGTGAATCTCACAAAAGAACTTTTGGGACTCCGTTCAATCATCGAAGACGCCGAGAAAAACGAGAAACAGAAACGAGAAAATATGAAGAAAGAGTTTGACGATGAATTGAAGAAAACATCGGACGCATTGGTGAAAACATTTAACGACACCTGTCAGTCGATGAAATTGAAAGACGGTAATGATTTACAATCCCTTGCTGGACCACAAATGCAGTTGTCCCAAACAATTACCAAACTAAATATACTGACTGAAGAAGCCAAAAAGGCTCACGAACGCTTTATCAAGAAAGAAGCAGAGGTTATGGCAGTTTCTCCGTGGAGTGTTGTATTTAAAAATTGGAACAACGTCTTGCCAATGGGAGTGAAGATATTAGAAAGCGTGACGATGTTACAAAATCAGTTGAATGACTATGAAAAGAATATGCTGAGCGAGTCTGAGCAGATGGACAATGAACTTTCGGCGAGTGAAGAGTTGGTGAAATACTATGCATGGGAAATTGGAGTGAAAGACGTTGTCGAATTTGTTTCTGGTTCAAGCAACACCGAACCGATTTTGCTCGCTGCTGGAAAATTGAGTCAACGATTTAAAAGTGTTCAAGCGAGTTATGATATTGTCCAAAAATTATACAAAAAGGATACCAACCAAGGGAAGTCGTTCAAAATGTTCACCAAATTTGTTGGGAGCTTGACGCCACCAATACAACTCAAGAACGACTTGATGGCCCATTTCAGAACACTTAATAAAGACAGTCAGAAAGAAAAAGCGAATGAAGAGCAAAGAAAAGAATATGCTCAATGTTTCTCGATCGCTGTTCAGTTATTGGAGTTTCAGACAGATGAGCCGGGACAACAATTTGTTGACCTTTCGAAACAAATCAAATCAATTGAATCGCTCAAAATACCGAACTTTGATAAATACGTCAAAAAAGAAGACATTGAGAAGCTCAAGAAATTTGTCGAAACGAACATGAAGTTCAATATCATTCTTCCAAGTGAGAATAAAATCGAAAAGGAGAAACCAGCGGCTGACAACAATAATGAAGACAGCGTGTCGAAGAGAGAGTCGTTCATGAAGTATTTGGGGCTCCTCAAAAACCACATCGAAGAGTTCTTGAAGGACTTGTCTGACTTGACTCAGTTGAAGGAATCAAACGGCTCCGCCCTTGACTTGATTTTGGAAAGGAAATTGCAAATTGCCAACAAATACGTAGACTGTCCACAGATTTTCATTCCGTGGTACCAGATGATTGCAGATCAACAAAACTCGAGAAACTTTTTTGCAGAGGCAGCAGTTGGCAAGGTGTACATTGCAATGTTTATTTATAATGCAATCAAAGACAGTATCCACCCGCTCAACATCGATTTACTAAAAACGATAACAAGAGATAACGTGGAATACGACCAACCTTCGTTCCAAAGCGGTGCGACATCACTTAACCCAGAGACTTTAGTTGAGACCATCAAGAGTGGTGCAGATTTGTTTGGGTCAGCTCACATGAACACTTTTTCGATTTCACTCTACAACTTCATCATCCCGTATTTTATCAGCAACAAAAATTACTCCGCGTTGTCGTCTGCACATGAAAGGGTCAATCAATTATATTCTGTTATTTCCGATGTTCCTGTGTTCTTCTTCTATCAGGTCGGGTTTTATGGCAGAGACTTTTTCGGAAAGGACCACCAACAGAAGTACATTTACTTGTCGCCGTTCAGAGTGAAGGAGTTTTCATCCCAGATTTGTCAGATGCACAAAAAGAAGATTAATGGAATCGATGTTGCCCCGGATTACAAACAAGAAATGGAAAACGACGATCCTACGTCTCCGTATGTGGCCATTGAAAGTGTCAACACATTCTCGAATGGAAGAGGCCAGCAGAAGTTGGGAGTTAATTTTCAAGGGTCGAACACATTTGTCTTTGAAAAGCCCGTATTTGACCAGAAGACAAAGGGGTACGAAGGGATGAGTAAGTTGATTACAATCTACAAGACGGAACACTTCATGCCATCCGTGCTTGAACGAGAGAAAATCATTGACGTTCAAAGAAAGACAAAAACACCGATTGAGTGTGTCATTGATGATGTTGAAAACCGGCTCGAGGCACTTAACAAGTCAATTGAAGAGTTCAAAAACAAGACAATTAGTATAGTCAGTTTCCAGCCCGCGTTGAAGGGTATTTTGGTGGCTGATGTCAACGGTGGGTTTGAGGTTATATGCTCGACGTTCTTGAAATACCCGAACATCGAGAAGTACGACATTGAGCACGTGAACAACTTGAATACAATTTTGCAACGAATGATGTTTTTGTGCAAGACTGGTTTGACGCTGCATAAGAGTAATATGAAACAAGAACAAGCCGGTATGCAATCTATTTTTGACAGAGGGTTTTTGGCCACATCAAAGGTGATCCGAGACGTGAAAGGTGACATCATTGAATACGCAAAGAAATGTCAACGTGACGATATTCTCGAACAACTCAACTAATTTTCTCAACTTTTATTTTACACTTTGTTTCCTTTATAAGGCATTTATTGTTCTTGTAATAATAAAGAATTATATAAAGGATAATTAACTAATAATAATATAACTAAATAAATAATTAATTAATTTAAGAAGAAATACTATATTTTATATTTATAATTAAACTACAATAATAATTATTATTATAATTTTTATCGAATAGAACAATTACTATTATTAGTACTTTTTTGTTTCTTTTTTCTTTTGAATATCGAAGTAAAATAATTCAACAAAAAATGGATATTAATAGGCCCAGTCACTGATTTTTTATTAAAAAAGAAAACAAGAAATTTGCTTTTGGAATGAAAGCGATATTTGCTCCAATAGGAACACATTTATAAGCAAAAATTCCTACACAAATAAGCAAAACAACACCAACACGGTTAAATAACTCAACTGACGAAAAGTGACATCAAGCACTATACAAACCAAACTACCAATCAATTCTTTATTATTTTAATACAAAGGACGTTTAAGAGCTTAACTAGAGTCGAGTCTGACGCCATCGAGGATAGTCCCGAGGGAGTTCATAGCGACCGCAAAGAAGACTTTTTTGCCTTCAGTGAATGATGAGATCATCCATGGGCGTTTACCGCTTGTTGTTTTAAGTGCGTAGAAATGGAATGGTTTGAGGGGGCAGTGAAATTTGCCATGACCGTCGACTAATACGATGTACACGGTATTTCCGTTGTAGTTATAAGGAGTGGACATATAGTCTGGGACAGAATAGATTGGTGACCTTGGTACAGTCGAGGCTAAGTGCGATAGAGAGTGCTTAGGTTTTGTTGCTTTATGGATTGTTTTAGTGTTATACTTATCGACTGATGCTAACATAGCCTCGAGGCTCATTTGGTAATCCAAGTTCAGTTCGCTTGTTTTATGAATTCTTTTTGTGAGGACAGTTTCTTCCAATTTTGGAATTTATTCCAATAAATAATCTTTCTTAAATCGGGATTTATGGAATCCAATTGAATCGAAAAAACTTTTTATAAAAATTTATGTTCTTTTTTTACTTTGTGTACTAAAATCAACACATTTTCTAATTTTTTTTACCTTCGTTAATAGTTCATTCTCTTTTTAAAAAAAGAATAATAAACAAAACTACCTCCCATTCAGACTCTTCGTATTTTTATATTGTTGTTTTGAATAGTTGATAATCTATATATTAAACTATTTGTTATTTAAAAAAAATGCCCTGCAGAGGTAATATGATGGTCTTTAAATTATAGTTATATAGTATGCTTATAATACTTTTATAATACTACTCTAGTTTTAAACGAACAAAAGAAAGAAGAAGACTTATTCTATCTTACAGAAATGGATTCATTTTCATTTGAAACTAAGAAATCAAGACGGGCATAGATGACAAAATTGTTGCGATTTTCAAAAGCAAAAACACTGAACCCGACGAAGCAGGACATTCCCTGTTTATCGAAGTCGACTTCATCAAAAGAGGAAGACTCTGTTGACAAAGATCTTCAGAAGTTACAAAAATACATCGATGCTTTATCTAAGCCTTTTGTTGATAAACGTTTGTTCTTTTAACTATAACCATTTTATATTAAAACTATATTTATACTATTAAAGTAACATTGAGTGCAACTTGCTAAATTGGCGAAAGATGGCGTCGATAAGATAGTCCGAGGGCAGGTGTGGAAGCTGCTCATTGGCTACATTCCGTGTGAACGACAGAAACAATTTGAGACGCAGCGATCAAAGCGTCAGGATTACATTTCGATGGCCACCCGTCTTATGGCGACGGGGCTGACGGTGAATGAAGAGAAGTCGGAGATTCAAATCATGAAAGACATTAAACGGATGACTCGTGAAGTCCCATTACTTCACAATGATCGTATTCAAAAGTTAATGTTACGCCTGTTATTAGTCTATTCCATTAAACATCCAGCGAGTGGATATGTCCAAGGCTTTGATAGTATGGCTTCTGTGTTCTTAGTTGTGTATTTAACAGATTACACTGGCACCTCCTCTTCTGTCTCACAAATCGATTCAATGACTGTCGATGAACTCTCCGAGATCGAAGCTGATGTCTATTGGAGTTTTTCTTGGATGTTACAAGCAATTCAAAATCAATACACTTTCGACCAGCCCGGCATTCAAAAACAAATCGACGACTTATCGACTCTGACCAAAAGATACAACCCAAAGCTTTTCAAGCACTTCTCAGACCAAAACCTCACATTCTTCCAATTCTCTTTTCGCTGGTTTAACTGTTGTTTAGTCAGAGAATTCTCAATCGATGCAATCCAAGTCATATGGGACTCTTTCATCTCCGAGCCAAATGGCTTTGGCTTTCTCTCCCTCACGCTCTTCGTCTCTCTCTCCCTTCTCGACTTCTTCTCCTCGCAACTCATTTCTTTAGAATACTCCGACTTAATATCCTTTCTCCAGAACTTACCTACCAGTAACTTGTCCCTTGACGACATCCACAAACTCATCATCCAGGCGTACACCTATAGTAATTTAGAAAAACTATGTAATTAATTCACTCTTCTGTGATATCCAAATTGGTCCAACAGCCACTCCGAAAATTCATTTAGTTTGTCGCACTCAAGTCGGGCACTCGAATCTTCTGCAGTTCGTTCAGTTCCGCAAGACTTAAATTCGTTGGCAGTGCCGGTTTCGTGTACGTCTCAATAGTAAAGTTCGGCAGCGTCGCAAATGGTGATGGATCGATGATTTGGGGTCGCTCATTTGTATTTTTTTCAAGGTTTGTCGTTGCATACGTCGGGTTGTTTGGTTCGAGCTCGTGCGCTCGTTTGAATGAACTAATCGCGTCTTCTTTTTGTCCGTGATATACATACAAGGAACCCATATTGTACCACACTTCCGGTAATTGTGGCGTCAACCCAACCGCTTTAAAATACGCTTTAATCGCTTCGTTGTATTGTTCAGTCTGGTAGTACAAATTTCCAATTGAGCACCAATACAAAGGATTGGTGTGATCAACTTGTAACGCTTGATGGAACGCGTCAAATGCATTTTGTGGGTGTTTTGAGTCTGCGAGGATTCTCCCATACACGTACAACCCTAATACATTTGTTGGGTCTTTCTGAACGACACCACATATCACTTGGTATGGTGAATTCTCCTCAACATGAAACGTCTCGTTGACTGATGGATTCATCACAAACAAATGGATTAACCATCCATACAATATGTACATAAATGGTTGGTCGTGTTCGTTAATCAATCCAATTGCCTTGTCGTGCGCGTCTCTTCCAATCACAATCGAGTGCGTCAATTGGAACAATTGTACTAACTGGCACAAGATATCTTCTTGTGTCATCCCCTCTGGTGGATTATTCCAGCATTCGTTCGTGAGTATTTCATAACACTCTTCATATTGCGAGTGTTGTTTATTGAGCATCGCCATTTTAAAGTGTATTTCCGCAACATTCTCCGGATAGCTTCCCTCCAAAACTTTCTTATAATACGTTTCCGCTTGCTCGAACATCCCAGCCTTTTCGTACATACTCCCCAATTGGAACAACAGTTTGGGGTCATTCTTAATGAACCTATTCGCGTTTTTCAAGCAGTTGTGTGCCTTATTAATTTCTTGAAGTGCCAAGAAACACTCTCCCAAATTCATCCAAGCCGTTCCATCAGTCGAATTGATCTTCAAGTACTTGTCGTAGTTAAATACAGCTTGAATGAACTGTTTTTTGATTTTGTATATGTTTGCTAAATGAGAAAGAGCGTCAAGGTTCATCGGGTTATGGTTCAAAGCAGTCATATAACACTCAATTGCTTGGTCATACAACTCCTCGTTCTCATTTAAGATCCCAATCGTGTACCAAAGTTTCCCGTTCGATGTTTTCAATTGTCCTGCAATATTGTCGTTCTCCCCTTCAATCTCCATCCTTTATCAATTCTCAGTTTCTCTTTTCTCTCTTTTCTCTGAATATGGTTCTTTTATTAACTTTTTTACTAATATACTTTGGTTTCACCTTTTTTTTGAAATTTGATACAATTTTGTGTTTTTCATTTTCTCTTTTTTATTTGTGTTATATATAACATTCGAGGGTTGATTGTTTGGGTGAATTTGTTATTCCTTTGTATTGGGTGTTTTAATTAACATTACATTTTAAATTAACGTATATTTTAATTAACATGAATAGAATACAATAAAAAAAAAAATATTTAAATACAAATAACACAACAAAAAATACGTTAAATAAATTAAAAAATAATAAAATAGATTCGTTAATTTATGCCTGAATGAACGATATAGGAACCAATAAACCCCCAAAACAGATAATCACATGTCTGAACCACTTCCTCAAAGCTTCGAGGCGATCACACCAAAGTTATCACCAGAGACCCTTCAAACGATTAAAGACTTTGGGTTCACAAAACCGACTGATGTTCAAGCGCAAGTGATACCTCCCTTTTTGTCGCATAAAGATGTGATAGTTCAGTCGCAAACGGGGAGTGGGAAAACGTTATCATTTTTAATTCCGATGTTTGAGATGATCAAAACTGCCAAAGAGAGTTATAACCCACGAGAAGTCTATGGTGTAGTGATTTCCCCCACCCGTGAATTAGCACAACAAACACATAGTATAGCTCTAGTCTTTGGAAATCATTTCAATTTAAAAGTAAAACTATTAATAGGAGGAGTTGAAAATTCGAAAGTTAATGAAGATTTAGCTGAAGGAGCGAATATTATTATAGGCACTGCAGGTCGAATAGAAGAAACTTTATCAGACAACCTTCACGATTTAGACTGGAAAACAGTTGAAGTTCTAATTTTGGATGAGGGCGATCGAATGATGGAAATGGGGTTAGCCCAAGCAATGGGGCGGATTATTAAGTTCTTACCAAAACAACGCCGGACTGGAGTTTTCAGTGCGACAATTCCCGACGAATTAAATAAATTAGTCATAGCGGGTTGTAGAAATCCATATAAAATTCTTTTGTCTACAGACAATATAACACCCGTGTCGTTGGTGAATGAATATGTTATTGTACCTTATGAAAGAAGACTACAAACCCTAATCCATTATTTAAAAACAACGAAAGACAAGAAAATTGTGGTGTTTGTGTTGACGTGTGATCAAGTCGAGTATATCAGTGCCGTGTTACACTCATTACCTCAAGGCGAAATTCCAGAGGAAAAGCGGGTGCTTTCAATTCATGGCAAAGCAAAGCAAATATATCGAGACAAAGCTTTGGAGAGATTTGAATCACTAGAAAGCGCTGTTTTGATCTGTACTGACGTCGTTGCAAGAGGTATTGATTTTGTAGATGTCGACTGTATATTACAATATGACCCCCCGCAAGACCCAAAGACTTATGTCCATCGTGGGGGACGAACAGCTCGCATGGGTACAATCGGTCATTCAATTCTCTTTTTAGCCGAGTGTGAAAAGGCCTTTATTCTCTTAATGGATCGCCGCGGGGTGAAAATCACTGGGACAACACTAGTAATCTCCGATGAGGAAAGTCTTCGCCTCTTTACTCTTGTTCGAGAAGCAACACTCAAAAGCAAAAAGTTGTTTGTTCGTTCACAAGCAGCTTTTGTGTCCTATGTGAAAGGCTATGGCGAACATCAGTGTAAATTTATTTTCGCTCTCAAGAAGTTGTCGTTGACTGATTTAGCTCATGGAATGTGTCTTATTAAACTCCCTTTTATTAAAGAGGTCAAGAAGCTTCAATTGAAATACGCTGACGAAATTACAACACGAATCAGTGAACTCTATCCCAAAAAAGAGACTGCAGAAACATCTCCTAAAAATCCTCAAAAGCGCAAGAACCCAAACACAGGGGATTACGATCGTTCTAAAATGTTAAAAACAGAAGATACTGATTCTAATTCAGGATCTAAAGACTCTAATTGATTTGATTGCTCTTAACTTGGGTAACTATATATCTCTAATAAAAAAACTATGTATAGTTATAGAAACTAAATAGTTTAATATACTATATAAAATAACTCTATAAAACAACTGTAACAAAATCATCCATTTATTTTTTTGGCCTTGGCTTGAAGTTCTTCGACGCCTGCCGTTTCACTTGTGGTTGGCTTTTTTGTTCTTCCGTCTGTTCTTTTGTTTGTTGTTGTTCTTGCGGTTTTGGTTGAGCGACTTGGGGCAACTTCCCTGTCGATTTATCTGCCAAGAACGTCTTATCTCTTTGTAATCGTTGTAACAGTGCTGGGGATGACGCTCCTCTTCTTAACAACCCAGTGTGATTCGCTTGTTTTGATGCAATCATTTCGAGTGTCGGGAATTGTTCGTTTTGTCTGTCGGACTTCACGGCTTTTTCAAACTTCGACATATTTTCTAGACATCAGTATTACTAATAACAATACCATTCTTACTAGTTTTAATTCATATACTATTTTTAATAATATCAAAACTATTAAGAGAATACTAGCAACAAACTGTGATAATTCTCATTGAGGACTGCTCTATACTTCTCTTGTTGTTCTCTAATTTTCGCGGACTTAGCAAAGAGGAGTTCTGTCTTTCTTTTCAATTTAGCATCAGCAGCCACCTCCTCAATAGTTTGTTGTTTGTCGTCTTTAATAGCGATGACCAAGTCTTGTAATATTCTGACGCAGTGTTCGAGTAAATATGGTAAAGAGTAAGAGATCCCATCTCCAAATTCGGGTAATTGGAAAGGGTGGTCTTTCCATAAGAATGTTTTAATATCAAAAGGTGATGCTGAGATCGATAACAACGCGCCTTGGTTGTTATATTGGTCACAGTAATTTGGAGCAGAAAAGATAGTAAAGCACAAAGGTAAAGGGCGGTCGGTGACCAAAAAGGTATGTTCCATATACCCTTCGTCTTGGACTTGATGTCCTCTTACTATAGAAGCCAAGTTGTTTTCTAACAGAAAAGGTTCGAGTGCGGCTCTCCCGAAGAAGTAAGACGTATGTCTCATAGTATTTTCAACATAAGTGATTTTGTTCCACTCTTGTCTTGAAATCCCTTCCCACTCGGGATCGTCAGGACTCCATTCATTAATCGGATCACTCCATAATAAATCAGTTAATGGACCAGTCCCAGGTGGTTCACAGAACCGATTAATAGCTTTGATATCAGACAAGTACCGAATGTCTGGGGAGATCCCTCCATGCATACAAAGGACTCTTCCATTGACATTTCCTTCTATTACAGCGCATAAAGGCAATGAGTCAAATAATGTTAAACATTCATTATAGACTTTAATGTTGTATTTTGCATTACACTCAAGTAAAAAGGTCATGTATTCACACATGAGTCGCGTCTCGTGATTGCCTCGAAGCATATACACCTTTGTCGGATAACAGATTTTGTGAGCCAAAAGGTAGAAGAGGACCTCTGTGGAGTAATCCCCTCTGTCGACGTAATCTCCCAAGAAGAGGTATTGTGTCTTGGTTGGGGAGCCAAGCATATCCAAGACATTCAACATATCGAAAAATTGCCCATGGATATCCCCTAGTATAACTACAGGCGCAAACACAGTCAACAAATTGGGTTCTTTCCTAAAGATATCTCTTGCTTGTTTAATTAACATCGTAGCTGCCTCTTGTGTGAGTCTTCCTTGTCGGAGTAAATGTTGACGGAGTAATGGGATGTTCGGTAAATGGTTCTTCCCGGAAAAGAGCATATTCGCTGTTAAAAGTCTATCCTCGGGTTCTGGGACTTTATCTATTCGATGTTCGTACGGGAGGTGTGGGGCGATGTTTGACTTCCCTTCTTTCAATAATTGACGGCTGGGGTTCAGTCTTGACAAAAATAGTAATTAATGGTTTTTATTACTATACTAAAATAACTCTTAAAAATAAGACACAAACATTTGAGTGATATTAGAAGATGGCGTCTCAACACATATACTTGCGGGGCGGGGTGGTAATGAGGACTTTGCTTTTTCCATCTGGTTTTCTGTTTTATAGTTCAGAAAAATATAGTTCATTGTTAGTTTTGAGTAGTTAAAAAAACTAAAGTATAAATTTTTGTAAAACTTAGGGATGGAAACTAGAAGACTCGTCAAAGGCTTTTTCAATCTGTGATTTCGGGGTTTTAGAACAAAAATAACAATGTAATGAAAATAACAAATTCAATAACATTTTAGTTTTGATTAAAAAATACTGAGAAAAATAATTAAATTATAATAATAGTATATTAATATTATATGTTTAATAAATTTTCCAATCCGATTTTATTTTAACCAAATAAATGTTATTTATTTTTGTTTTTTATTTTTAGTTATTACAATAATAAAAATTTGGTTATTTTATTATGTTTTATTTAGTAGTAAATTAATAGTTTTTTATTATAATTTAAAAAAAGGAAATTACAAACTATTATTTAATTAAAGAAATAATAACACAATACTTCAATCATATATAGTTACTTGATAATAAATAAATTAAAATAATAGATTCAATTCTTATTTAACAAATGTAGAGCAACAATTTATCAAGCAAATACACGTTATATATAACCAAGTGAATGATATTTTTGTTAATTTAACGAATTAATATAATCTACATTTGTCTTCTATTATTAAAAAATGATTTAAAAGTTCAAATTTAACCTTAAAAATAATTGAATGCCATCCCACCTTGAGTTAGTCTTTATGATGAACGTCGCAAAGTATTTATCTAGTGTTGACGACCTTTACGAGTTTTGTAGAGTGTCAAAGAAGTGTCAAGAAACTTTGAATGCATTCCAACAGAACTTTTATTTTGATAAAATCCACGTTGAAACGTGAACTCAAATTTTTCAATGGAATTCAAAATTACAAGGGAGACAATTCGATCGCATCAATTCCACATAGACAATTCGAATTTTATGATATTGAAGGCGACGTCGAAGGAATTCCTCTTGAAAAAATCCGCTCTTTGAGTACGTCACTTCTCCCAGAACATTGTGAAAAAATGACAAGTTTGAGGAATTTGGAGATTTTCATTCAAGGAGATAATGTTGGGTGGCAATACGTTGATGCGGATGATTTTAAACAATTGAGTCTTCTTGAGAACCTCAAGACAGTAAAGATTGTGATAGAAGATGCTCCGGCAACACCGTTAGAAGACGACGAAAAACCCGAGATCTATGAAAACTTCATTAGTGCAATTACTAGTATAGGACCAAAACCCTTTGTAGTTGTTGTAAACTGTGATCCGCAGTATACAAAACAAATTTTAGACATTGGATACAACATCCGAGTAAGACAGAATGTTCGTGACATTAGCGAATTTGCTCAAGAAATTAAGAACGACAGATTTAATATAGTGACTTACGATATTACTGGCAACGTGAATGATGTTATTGATAATAATGTCATTCAGAAGTATGGTATTCCAGTCGTGGAACTCAGTTGGATGGAAGACAAACCTGAAGGTAAAGAAAGAACATTCGACTTGAGTAAGTACAATGCGTTGTATGACTTCAGCTTGTCTATTATGGACGTCAAGTGTCATTGGGTATTACCAACCAACTTAACTCGACTCTCCGTGTTAGATGAAAACATTGTGAATTTAAGTCAACTTCAGGATCTCCAGATATTAATTCGAGATCAAATTCCTCAATGTCCGTTGAACCAGTTGACTAATCTTCAATTGTTCAGACCAAAAAAAGTCAGTGCAAAAGAAATCAATGATATTGGAAATGTCAAAGAGTTCTCTGTCGAGTATTTCAGAGAAGAGGTGCTTGATCTGAAAGACTTGAAAGCAACGACTGTTCACATCAGAAATTTCTTTGGGAAGACTATCATATTATCAAACAACGTAGAATATTTGGATGTTGCTTGTATCAATGTCGAGCAACTTGTTATTCCCAAATCCGTCAAAACTTTAATTTGCAATCAGTCGGATAAGCTCATTACACTTCACTTTGAAGAAGAAATTCAATTGGAAAGTATCACCATGTTCTGTTGCAAGAACCTTAACAAATTCACTCTTCCTAAATCAGTTAAGACACTCAAGTTACAGTCCGACATTAAAGCCAAAGTTCTTAACATCCAAGACTTCAAATTATAATTCAGAGTCCTTTGATATTATATTTTTATTAACATTATACTATATCTTATATATCATACAATGGAGTGAATAAAACTATATTTCATTAATTAATTAATATATAATGTATACAATATATAACTATAAATGAATATCAAATAAACTTATGGGACGATGTAGATGTGTGGATTTGTATACAAGTCTTGTTGACTTGCGTTGATTGGTGCACTTGTAATTTCCTCCGACTGTCTCATTCTTTTCAACGCGGTAATTCTTCTTTTTTCCAATTGTTCCGGGTTAAGTTGAGTGACTTCATTTTGTCGTTCAAATTCATCATTTTCATTATCTGAATCACTGTTATTATCATCATCTTGATTTGGGGGATTTGGTATATTAGGGAGTGGAACTGGGAAGAATCCGGGCTGGCCATTTTGTGGAACAGCGATATTGTTTCCTGGACCCACATTATTAACATTAACATGTGGTGCACCATTTAAGGGTATAACATTGTTTTGTGGAGGTTGTGGGTGGAGTTCAAACTGATGTTTTCGATACCTTTCGATAAACTCGAGTTCCTCTTCTCTTGTGTACCCATTTTGGATGACCATTCTCTTTTCAAATGGAGACAGTATAGTGAACCACGCCTTCTGTTGGACGTCTTCTTTTTCGGCTTCCATAATGATGTTTTTGAGTTGTGAGGTTTTGTGAATATAAATAGAGTACCCGTCATTGAGTGACGGGTACTCTCTGAATTAAAGAACACAATGAATTCAATTAGAACCTCTTCTCTAAGTCCTCACAGTCTGTGAGAACCGGGTCGTTGTTCTCAATAACATCATTCTCACCTTGGATGATACAGTTGAATATCCTTTTGTTGATTTTAGAAGTGATCTCTCCCAGTTCCGACTCTCCAAACGTGCTTTTATTTCGTTCAACCTGTTCGAAGTACTTATTGCCAAAGCTCTTGATCTTGTCGAAGTCGAGGACAATACCTTTGGCATACTCGTCTTTGTCCAACACAAGCGATTGTATTAAATCGAAGATGTAAGGCACCTCGAACGGTAAGATGATTTCTAATGTGAAATTCTCGTCACTTCGATGTTTCGGGATAACTACCTCGACTGTTCTATTGTTGTTGTTAAACTTGGTAATCAACTTCTCAAATTCCTCAAAAAGAGTTCCTTTAAGTGCTTGTTCGTTACTGATTATCTGAGAATATGAGTCCAAATCTTGCCTATCGCCAGGCAATGCTCCATTCGGTTGCATCTCAATCTGATTAACGGCCTTTCGAACCTCAGCACTCGCAGCATCATCAAGCCTCAAAATCCCTTTGATTTTTCTCAACACCCGTTCCGCATTATTGACATCTCGCGAATCGTGATTCGTCCGATGAGAAACTATATTTACTATACTTTTTCCATACTCGATGGTTTCCATTCTCTCCGTTTGCTTTTCCATCTCACTTCTCACATCTCCGCTTTTTGACATCTCAAAAGTCTCGTCTGACGTGTCAAACGCCTTAAGCTTTCCGTCAAAAGAGACAGAAAGGAATGGGCTGTCATCATTTTCGGCCCTTTTGACGTCAAGAGCAATCAACTTGTCAAGGAGATTGAGACCTGTTGATTCGTCGAATGAAGCTGTTTGAGCGATAGATGTGTTTTGATAATAGAGTCCAAGTCTTTCATCGACCATCGAGAGCGACGTGTTTTGTGTCAGTAAATCGTCGTCGTCTTTTTTCATCCGTCGATATGAAGACTCTGGGAATGACTTTGAATCGCGGATTAATACAATGTCTTTTTGTGTCAGTGGAATACCGTCCAAAGCGAAATCGACATCTGCGTCGTACGTTCTTGTCACACCGTTCTCATCTATCCCAGTGACTGGTTCAAACAACGATTTGTTGAGGTATTTAATAACATTAAATCGGTAATTTTGAATCGAACAAATCGGATTCCCTGTTAAGAAGAGTGAATTTAATACAATTAAGCTTCCTAACATTGAACTTAAACTCGCAGTACTTGAGATATTATTATTCATCAATCCCTATATTATTAATTATTATTAATAAATGGTAATGATAATTATCTATTAATAGTATAATAATAATATTATTATAATAATTATATTATAATTATATTATTAAAAACAAACTAATACACTAAGGTTCTTACAAGGAGCTAAAGAATTGATATCACTCAATTTGTTGTTATTAAGGGACAAATAAGACAAGAAGGGAATGTTATCTGGGTTGAAATACACTGATTCAATTCTATTGAAATCGGCAGTAAAAGCGTCGAGTGGTCGTTCATCGAGTCCAGAGAGTTTAGAGATGCGATTTCGAGAAACATCGACCCGTTGAAGGTTAGGGAAGACAACACTATTAAAGATGTTTTCCAACTCTGAAATACCACAGCCAGTTATTTTCAGAACTTCTAATCGTTTCCATGAATTGGTAGGGATGTTCATCATTAATGAAATGCTTTGGACGACAGTGTTATTGACTTCCAAGTCGGTCAAATAGTCTGAAAGGTATGGTTGTGTCAAGTCTATGTTACCACCTAAACTCTTGACAACTAAGGAATTCAATTCACAGTATTGACAGAACTCCAATAAGAGAACATCACTATTCTGAACGTTATCACCAGAGTTTTGGTCAATACCTTGATCAATAATTAATTTCTTCATATTGTCAAGACTACGCTTGATATCAAATAAACAAGTAAATTCGGGGTGTGAAAGACCATTCAAAAGCATAACTGTTGGGGGAGTAAGTTGTAGAGTCTCCTCATTCCCTAATACACGTTGGATGTTATGGATTTCTTCAATAAGAAAGTTCATCAATTCTTTTGTTAGTTCTTTCTTTTTTAATTGGAGTTTTTTAATGCTCTGATATCTTTAGATGGGTTGGGTGTTGTTTCTAAGTGAATGTGTTATTAATTCTTATAGTTCAATTAATAGCATTATCTATTATTTAAATTAATAATTTATTTATTATATAAATTATTATATAAATATAAATATATATTCTATTAATTTATTGTATTATTCAAATTATAAAATTCAAATATATTTAAATACATATTTATGTTTCACTTATATATAGTATAATATATAGTATATATATTATATACTATTATATATATTATAGTCACCCGCTAAAAGCAATGAAAACACGACAAATGGTGTAAAGAAACTATAATTTATTATTTTATACTATAATTATAAAAAACATTAAGAATAACATAAATAACATGAAAAAGTCAAAAAAATAAGAAAAAATTAATCATTTTTTGTCAAGTTTTTTGAATGGTTTAGAAGACAACGGCAATCTTAAAATTGTGGTTTCTTTTTTCCTTATCTTATTTTGGGTTTTTAATGCTTTTTTTACTTCCCTTTCTTTTCTTTTAACTTCAATTTGGAAAGGGAGTAATACTGTCTTTCTTTTCTTTTGAAGCAACGGAATTGGTTTTGGAATAAACTGTTTGAACAATTCTCTGTATTGGGGCGTTTTTATAAATTTACAATGTTCGATGGATACACGACACTTTGGAAGCGTTTTGTCAATCCAGTTGACTATTCCAGCTTGTTTAAAAGCAATAATATTAAAAGGAGGTGTTGTAACCGCAAAGAAAGAATCCACCAATATCATCAACTCTCTTAGTCTGTTTCCGAGTTCAATATTGTAAAAATCTGGTTTTTTATCTTCCCAAAATAAATTACCATCCACATCTTTATTTTCGACTTCTTCTTGAAAAAGCAAATTTACAAAACTGTCGTTCGCTTTTAAAGAAGACATTCTTCTTTTAAGCCTACCAAATATCCCCAAATCAAGAACTTGAAGGAAATGAGAAGCATGTGGAGTTAATCTAACAAGAGTTATGTTATTTTCAGCGAGTAACAATTCAATAATCGAGGAACTGTGGCTTTTTGCATTATCCCACACTAGACAAGCTCTAAGATCGGACATTTTTATTTCAATTCCAAGCGCATTCATTTCATTTTTAATTTCAACACGTTTTCTATTAATATAATCAAGCAGAACAGTTCTAATCCAGTCTTCACAAATTTCACGCGTAATGAATCCAGACACACTGTATCGGAATAAAACATTATTTTCCGTTAGTCCATTACACCTATATTCATTTGGAATAGAACAAACGGGCAAAATAACAGTTGGTTTCAGAGTTGAACCATCAGTAACAACTGTGGCAATTAAAGTGCAATGTCGTTCATCCCTCTCTTGTCGACAATACACAAATTTCATTTCATAATTCATTGGAACAAAACAGTGTCCATCCTTAGAATCTGCTCTTGGAATGTAACCCATTTCATCCATGTTAACAACAAGACCAGAAAAACAATTATCTACACTATTTTGGAGAGTCAAAAAGTAATTTAACACATCATTGGGATTTACATCGAATCGTTTTTCTGCAAGTTGTTTGCACGTTACAAGTTTTAACCCATGTCTTTCTGCCCAACGAATTGAAGATTCTTTTGTGGTATTCAAGTTGCATTCATCAACAAAAAGACTCCAAACATAATCTGTTGTTACTGCTTTGTTTTTTAGTAATCTTCTGGATATTTTAGAACAAAGTATATCAGATTGTTTAAAAGAAATGTTATATTTACTTTTAGATTCATTACATGTATAACACACTTCTTCTTCTTGTTTAATAACAGCGGAAATTCTTGGCTCATTCACTTTGAAAATTTTTGCCAGATCTTTTTGAATTATTTTCAGTCTCAGAAAACCATCCAAAACATTGATATTGTAGTATGGGTTGATAACACTTATAAACACTTTTGCGGATTCCAAACTTTCCATATTTTTATTGAACACCTTAATATTTTTATAAGCAATATAAATTTGTAACCGTTTATATTGACTATGGCAAAATTCTTTTTGTTTTAACAGAAACAGCACAAACAAATAACACAATGAATCTGATACATCCAAAGAATTTGCCGAATCGTCGAAAGCCATCGCAGGTGCAGGTTTGGTCTTTTTGTTTTCTGGTATTGTCCAGGTAAGTGTATTTGTACTGCATTTTTCCATTAATAGTTGATTTTCAGTTCACCTTTAATCTATTTTGACAATGTTTTAGAATAAAGTAAATTTATAGTTAATTTTGAAATACTTTCAATATAAAGAAAAAAATGACAAATTGAAACATAATCTAAAATCATAATTTCTAAAAACCATAAAATGGTTTCTTTAGACCATTTGTCGTAAATTTACACCTTTTAGCGGGTGACTATACAACTTTTTTTTTATTTAAATTATTAAAAACTATATAAATTATTAATTTTTTCTTTTATAACAAAAACTAAGAAAAAAATCAGTTTGGTTTATAATTTATATCAAATATAAAAATGTTATTATTATTAATTTAATTTTATCACCTTATCAAACGGTTTTCTTGTTGGTGAAAAAAAAAATTCAAACCCAATTAAATTCAAACTATTTCAATTAACTTTAAAAATAAGAACTTAAAAAATTTAATGAATAACTTTGTTTGGGGTGGAAACACATCCGCTTTAGGAAATGGTACCCAACAAGCAAACACAAACAACACGTTTAGTGGTTTAAGTGCTTCAATGTCTCTATTTGGTAATGGACAAAACAATGATCCAATTTCAGGACAACAACAAAGCACAAACCCTGTTTTAAATACACCCACTACCTCTTCTTTAGGTTTAAAACTTGATTTGCAGCCAAACGAGTTACCTGGTTTTAAAACACCTTTTCTCAGCGGAGTTACAGCGACAGAACCAATACAACAACCCACACAACAACAACCTGCAATTAATCTAATTTCTCAAATGAACACAAAACATGAAGCACCACAAGAACCACATCTTGTGGAAAAGAAAGAGGAGAAACCTCTTCAAATTGAGAGGGTTGTGATTCCATCTGTAAGTGAGTTGAGAAATGAGAGCGATGTCTCGGCTTTTGTTGAGAAGTACAAGGCGGCAATTTCGCAGAAGATCGAAGGAATGAAGCGAGTGTGTGGTGATATCACTGAGAGAAATAACGAAGCAGCCCAATCGCAGGCTCAAATTGCGCAATCGCTTGATGCAGCGGAGAATATGGCGAATGAGATTGACGCATACCTCGACGGAGTTATCGCGGAACAAATGGCATTTGAGCAAATGCTATTGAATGTAGAAACTGAGTTAGTTGGGCTGAAAGGAGAGAAGACACGAAGTGAGGCCACCAAAGATATCGAGGAGATCAAGATGAAGGTGTTGGCGATTGAGGAGAGTACAAAAGAAATCGACACAAAGGTCAAAGAGAAATTAGAAAAGAAAGATAAATCGCTTGCTCATGTTAAAAAGATGATGGAGGAAAATAACAAAATGCTCGACATGGTCGAAGAAACCCTCTAATCTCTGTGATTGATTTTTTTAATGTTTTTTTCTCTTTGGTCTTTTTAATTTGGTACTTTTAATTAATAATTTTTATTATTTATTTTTTATTATCTTTTAAAATAAGATTTTTTTTTAATTAAAAAATACAATTATAAAAAATCTATATTGAGGATTGATTGTTTAACTTGGATTTTTTATTAATAAAAACGGGAAATAGTTATTATCAAATTTAAAATTTGTTTTTAATGATTTTTTTTAAATGTAAAAAATAGTAACAATGTTAAAATACAGATAATAACAATTAATTACTATTTTAAACTATAATAACATTAATTTATTTTACATTTAATTAATATTCTGTTGATAAAAAAACAAAAGTTTTAAGAAGATAAAAAATGATTGTTTACAATTCAAAAAAAATTCATAAATTTTGAATCTAATTCCATTTTTTGTATTATTTAACCCTTCCAGTACCAGGAATTTCCAAAAAATGTATACTTAATATAATCTTATTCATTTTGAGTGTATTTTAGAGTAAATAAATGCAAAAAACGCTTTAAACTTTTAACAACCATGGAAAATACCAGGAAACAAAATTATTAGTAAAAATAATTTAAAATGTTATAATTTAATAGTAAATTATAACCTAAAATCGTATTTTTATTGAAAAAAGGTTCACTTTTTTCAACGAGGGAGACTTGAAGATTTATCTGATTATTCTCTTTTCAAGTTGAAAAAGTTTTTGTTTTTATATCAAAAAAATAGTATAGTATATTAAACTAAACACAATAATAATCTTTACGAAAAGGAGTTTCAGAAGGTAATAATGAATTATATAACTTTTCAATTTGAATATTTATTATTGAAAAACAAGGGATACGTCATTCCTTGAATATTCAGAAAAGCGATTACATCAAACAAAACACTGTGATCTCATAATTATTTTTTTATCTTTTTTGTAATTCAGTGAAAAATAAAATAATTCGAGTTTGTCAAAAAAGAGTAAAATATAAAACTGAAAAAATAAGAAGAAAATACACTTTTGTGAAAATCACATTTTTTAGTTTTTTATTATTCAATAAACAATAAAAACCTTTAAATTTAATAATAAATGAATAAGATTGATTTTTAATAGTCAGACACATCAGTTTGAATAGAAAAAGAGTCATAAACAACTCAAGGAGTAAAATAAAGACAGTAAAACCAAAATTTGTCTTAAATGATCATTACACCTTGTTTATTTAATTTCGTGTGTCTTCCAGTTGTGAGTAATAAAGATATGACTTTTTCAAAAAAAGACAAATGTATTATGAATACAGAGAGCAAATTTTTCTATATGATTGGAAAGACAAGTATTTGTTTGTTATTATAAAACAAATGGTAACATATAATCTGTTTTGTCTGATTATTTTTTTTTGTTTTGGCATTTGTTTTTTGAAAATGCATTTTTGGGATGAAAATCAAAACCAGAAAATTAATAAAAACGAAAGATTTACTGATAAACGGTGTATACTTTATGTATATACTTATAATATAGTGACTCTTATCAACCAGATTTTGTATTCTATTCACCCACTTTCACAATATATAGCTATTTGAAGTGAATATACTGTTTGTTGTTTGTGGCGTTTATACAGGGATACACAATAAAAACTAACCAACAAATAGATTCACAATTCTTTTATTTTGAATTGATATACCAACTCAGTAGAGTGATGCTATCCTTACAAATATAAAATCAATGATAAAGCATACAAAAACGAAGAAGCAGGGTGATGTGAGTCAGAGATTTGGAAATTATGTAATCACATCATTTATTTGTATTATATTATAGTAAAAAATTAGTATAATAATAATAATTTTATAAAAAAAGCAAAGCCCCTCCCCTATAAATATGTAAAAAAACGTTTTGAATATTGTACGATACACAGAAATGATTTTCAGAGATCACAAAAGAAACAGAAAAATAACAAAGAAAATAGATAGATTATTAACTATAATAAAACCTATAAAACCAAAGAAGTAATTTACTCCATTTCCATCAATAACTCTGTCAATTCATTGAGGAAATTCAATCTGTCCACCTTATCGTGGTGATGATGATATACCTTGTAGGCATTGAGGGCAGCGATGTCAAGTAAATCATAAAGTATTCTCACATTTTATCTTGAAGTGCGCTTTCTACAAGTGTAAGTATGTATCATCTGATCTGCACTATCAACACCTTCCATTGTCGCATTGTATTGTTTTATCACATTTGGTTTGTGTACACTCACAAGTTTGCCATCCTTTCCCCTCACTTGCTCCTGAACTGTGTACAACTCTTTAGCATTATGCATCGTCGTCATAATGAGCACCAACTTCTTCTTTTCGTTATAGTAAGAAACCAATTTGCATACACCCTTTGTACACACTTCCGTTGAATCTGCCTCTCTTGTAGTAGCCTTCTTATCATCATTGGGGTCATAATGTTTGATTTGTTTGGCTTCTTCTGGTACCTCAACTCTGTTTTTTCGCACAGTCCCAAGCAATGTTGAACCATATTGAGCCAAATAATGTGCCAATCTTAAGCTACAGAAAAGTTGTCACATACAACTGTCACAAACTTTCCCATACACAGTTGCGGAGCTACCATATCTATCGTCACCTGAAATCCTTTATTTTCTTCCTTCTTGTCGCACTTTCCACAGTACATCTGTAGGTTTATAATCATACCACTTTCACAATCACAGCACATCTTTTGTTATTCATTGAACATATTATCAAACACAATATTAACAACAAGTCAATTACCGATGTATATGTCTCAACACCGTGAATCTCCGACTTCATTGATTATTCTTACAACAAAAAAAACAAACCCAAAACTTGATGCCGTAACGCTGAGGTTTGGACTTGATGAATACCTTTGCCCATATCTTTCACTTGAATGCGCAAAGGTGTTCATCAACCGATAGTGTGGTGCTCGGTGTAAAGTATTTGTTGTTCACTAAGTTGTGAATAAAAGCTTCCAACACTTCCCAAATTTTGCCAAACTTGTCATTCGAGTTTGGCGTGTTTGATGCTTTGATTAACCCCTTTTCTATAGTCTCTTCATCATTTACTTTTTGTCTCACTTCAACATCCTTTTTTAGCTTCTCTTCGGTCAGGTCAACAGGATGTTTTTTGACCCACTCATCACAACTCAAATAGTCTTCTTCTTCAGTCTCTTCTTTATTCTCTGGATTTTCCTCTTCATCGGATGCACTGTCCTCACTCTCTTCTTCATCACCTATAAAACAACTCTCTTTCTCAACTTCATCCGGAAGAGTTGTGACATCGTAAGTCTCGATGTTGGCATTGATAAGTTGAAAAACATTTCTGGGCATAGCTTTACCATAAATATTTGGTTTCCCGTGTTTTTCGTTCCAAAGCTTGGAAATTGGATTCTTTATGTCGTGGTGTGCTCCCATATATAGTAAAATGCCGAAATATCGTATAATGTCTATTTTTGTTATTTGGGGTTTACCTTTTTTTCCTGATAATTTGGCGTTGGTAAATGCTGTTATTTTTTCGACTAAATTTTCGTCAAAAAACCCAAAAAACAAGTCAGAAGCAGTCGAAATACAAAATTCTGCTTTATAGTCAGCACCCACCTTCGCAACCTTCCTTTTGAACTTTTTCTTTTCTTTGTTGATGGGACCCATTGCTTTCCACTTGTTGTCACCAACAATCAAGTCTTCCATGTGATAAGAACGAGTTTGGATGTTTTTTTTTGAAAAACATCAATGTTGGTATAATGGTTTTATAATTGTTTAATTATTATATTATATAATTCAAATCAAATCAATGAAAATATATTATAATAATATTTAAAACAAAATAACATTCATTATACTTTATAAAAATACTATAAAATAAAAATAAATATAAACAACAACCCTGAAAGTTGAACTGAAAAATAATATGGAAATAACACTAAAAGGATGACATAACATAAACATGTTAACGAAGAATGGGTAAATGTATACACAAGCATGCAAATACAACTTTTTGTACTCAAATGTAATAGTTTGTTTATAGTTTCTATGTGCTCTGTCAGATACTAACAAACAGATTCGTAATTCTCAAAAATGTACGTGTAAACTATTCATAATGTTTGTTTTTGAGTAAATTTTAATTATCAATAATAATGAGGGGGTAAAATTCTGCAGTGTTTCATGAATATACACAGTTAAATATACACACAAAAAACATATTTGAACAAATACATTTAGTAGATAATGAGTGAAAAGAACAACTTTTATTTGCTTTGGACTGATGTTTGTTGAAGTTTATTTATTTTCATTTTATATATACTTGTTATGATGTAACATCTTTTGTCTATAACCAAAATAAACGATAAAAGCGTCGAAAACGAAATTATATAACAGAAATGAAGAAGAGTGATATGATGATACACTAAAGGGACAAAAAGAAAAGTGAAAATGTTCAATGAATTAGCAAGTAACACACATAACCCCACATAAGAGTTCAACGAATAAACTATACTTTTTAATTTAAACCAATTATTTTAATTCATCGTTTTAGTTGTCATTATAGTAAATATATAATAATAAAACTATACAATATGAACTGTAAACTACAATTTTTAAATTCTTTTTCGTATCTTCGAAACATTTGGCATTTTTAACACTTGTTATACTTTTTGAATTATTTTTTTATTATAAACAACAAGAAATTGTTACACTCGATACAAAATTGCCACTCACTTATTCGGTTTTTCTGTTGTTTTGATAAAAAAATGACGGTTATTTGTTTATACATTATTTTTATTGGCTTTAATGAACTATAAAATAATAATTTTCCTGTCAACTTTTCAGAATTTTGGAATTGGGTTTTGTTTTTTTAAAAATTTTTGAAAAAAATAAAAATTAAATTTTGTTGATTTCTGGTACTGGAAGGGTTAGTAAATTAATTTCAAAATAAAGCATAAAGTGGTTTATAATTAAAAGTATTTAACTTATAGAACAATCGAAAATTATTAAAAAATTTATTATTCAGAAACTTAATAGTTTTATATAAAAATTAAATAACAATTGAAAAGTTTTATCTAATCCATTCAAAAAAACAATATTTAGGTATCAAATATACCCAATCAAATGTTTTTTAATTTATAACGGACGAATAAAAGACAAAAATAGATGAAATAAGTAGAACAAAATGGTTAAAACAATTATTTTAATAAAAAGATTTTTATTTTCTCAGTAATTGTACTCTATAAAAAAATCAAAGTAAAGAAAATTTTCAAGATTTGAGATATGACATAACAATTCACTGGATAAATCCAAAAAAGTGAGTGAAATGTTGAGGACTTTGTATGTTGTACTACTCTGTTTCACGTTGGGACGATCGGAATGCCCTGCACAAGATAAAAACAGTAAAGCGCTGATTAAATCAACGACACTTGAGATAATAGACACATGCAGCTACAAGACCGTTGAAATTTCTTCGTCAAAGGTAACCATGATTGGAGATGTATCGTTGATTGCTAGCTCAAGTTTTTTTATGTACACAGGTGCTTCATTGATGTTGACAAACACGTCACGAGTAGAAGTTAAAGGGGGGTTGACAATGTCTAACTCAATGTTGAATTTGGATGACTCTTCCAATTTTTCAACAACAATTCCTGATGGCTATTTAAATGATATTAGTGCAAGTAAGATTAATATATTCAAAACAGCAAGCTTTGTTACAGCCAATTCTATGTCGATTTCCAGTTCAACCATTGTTATTGAGGATAATGCAACAATGACATGTCAACAAGGAATAAATGTGATATCGTACTCGGTTTTTAATATGTCGAAGAATACCAAAATGAATGTTCTAAATAATTTTAATATCAACGAAGAAACACAATTCAATATGAAAGACAACTCAAATATAACAATACAAACTTTTAATAACATTGGTGGGTCTGATGCCGTGTTAAGACTGTATGACAACTCTTCTTTTTTAGTGACAGATATGATTAGTATTTCTTTAGTATCCATTTACTTGTCGGGAGATTCGGTCTTCAGTTGTGCTGATACAGTATCAATGACACAAATAACGTTGGAATTTACAGATAACTCAATACTTTCAATGAAATCACTTGGAATACATTACGGATCCAATGTCTCTTTAAATGGAAATTCGAAACTAATATGCGAAGAAAAACTTGTCATTGACAAAGCTGATTATCAAACAATACCAATTGTTCAACTAAGTAGTAACACACAAAGATTTGTTATCGAGTCAAGCTCGTTTTCCATCTATGCGAATTTTAGCGTAGACGAAAAGTCATCAATAAAAACTGGTGGATTTAATGCAGATAACACATGGCTAACACCATGTATATTCACAATTTCTTCAAACCGAAACATTCATCACCTTCCACTATTATTTATTAATGGACAAATTACCAATTTCAATAGAGTGACCCTCAAAAACACAACTTCATTCGATTTTTTTGCTTCCGAGACAAACATCACTATTTCACTACCAACTGGATTTACTTTACTTGCAGAAAAACGATTGCTACGATATGGAAAGAGTACCAATATATTTTGTCATATAAATAACACTGTTTTGACACCAAAAAGTTTTTTGGAGAGTTACTGCCCAAGAGACAACTCTTTTATAACGCCGTTGGACACTTTGGAAGGGATTTCTTTCATTTTATCATCTCTTAAAACTTCTTTAAAAAGTGCTTATGACACCAACGAAGAAAATGTAATATATATTGGTGATTATGCTTTTTCAATGGTTCTTGTTGAACACTTCGCATTTTCAATTGTCTCGGATAAATTGGTCACAATAACTACGAACGCACTGAAGTCGAGTATATTTGTAAATTCCAACAATGGTTTCATTTATAACCAAGTGAAGTGTTATTATGGCGCTTTTGTTGGCAACAAATTTACGTGTTTGTCTTATATGAATTGTGAGGGTGGCTATAATGAAAATCACGTGTGTGTTCCGTGCAAGAGAGAGGGATGTCAGAGATGTTTCAGATATGATGGTGAATGCATCGAATGTAATTCCACGTATTATCTCAATGAAGGGTATTGCAAACCACAAACCAATTGTGCGCTTGTTAGAAATAGATTTTGTGGGATATGTAAAACGGGGTATGTCATTACGGGGAATGGGTGTGAACCTATTGGAATAGACGGATGTGCTGTAAGGCACAACACTGGTGGGTGCATGTTATGTGATTATTCTAAGAATTTGATGAACATCAACAAAACATGTGAAGCTACAAAAGATCAAGTTCTGACTCATAGTGAATATTATATAACTTCATGCAAATCCGGGTTTTACACAAATGGAGATGAGTGTATTTCGTGTACATCACAAGAACCAAAAAGTGAATTTTGTGAAAACAAAAAAACGACAAAGTGCGATACAAAAAGCGAGTTTTATTCAAGCACGATATGTGAAACTAAAAGTTGCGAGAATGTCACTAATAGTGTACATGATAGTAACGGAAGATGTTCAAATAAAGAAAATTGTGCATTAACAAACAATGACAAGTGTGTTGAATGTGAAAATGGACTTATTCTCTACGACCAAGAAATTTGTAAATCGACACTTGAAGGGGGGTGTGCGACGGGTAATGTATCGGGATGTAACCGGTGTGAGTTGGATTACTACTACTCGTATTTGACACGGAGTTGCCACAAATGTGAGTCCCCTTGTGAAACTTGTTATGGCAATTCTTCATTTTGTTTGAGTTGTGAAACGGGGTACTTCATCAACGACAACGCGTGTACATCTGACCACGAACTTCGCGCGAAATGTCAACTCATTGTTTTGACTGGATGTATAGAATGCATACATGGTTATTACAGAAATGGTCTTGATTGTAAAAAGTGTGATGCGCAGTGTGAGACATGTGTTGTTTCTGGGAGTTGTGTGACTTGCCATGAGAACTATTACAGGACTCTTGAAGGTGAATGTTTGCTTCAAAGTAGTATTATAGGATGTGCGGTTGATGTCACAACAAATGGGTGTAATAAATGTATTAAAGGGTATTACACGTACAAACAGAACCAATGTGCGAAGTGTCGAGATGAGTGTCCACAATGCGCAGACGAGAAAATGTGTCTTTCTTGTATTGAGGAATATGTTTTAGTGGACCACAATTGTGTGATGTACACATCGATTCGGGAGTGTACTGAATCCAAAGACTCAAAATGTGTTAAATGTTCATTTTGGAATGCTCCAGATTCAAGCGGGACGTATTGTGATAAGAGTCCGGTGTGGTGGGTTATAGTAATTGTTGTTATCGTTGCATTAGTGATACTAATTGTTGTATTCACTGTATTTGCTTTGGTGGCGTTTCTTCTGTCGCATCTAACAAAAAAGAAGAAAACCGAAGAGAAAGTGACTGTTTTTAACATGAAAAAGGCAAACATTTCATTCACAACACTACGAGGTGGTGTCGTGGTTAATATGACAGAAATAAACTTCAATGAAGACACCGAAGAAATTCCAGTGAACACCGAAACGCGGCAGATTTTTTGTGTTGGAAATTCCGAGGAACGCACCATGAAAGTGCAATTTTCGACAAAGATGAATGAACAGAAATACTCACTGAAAGTGACACCACCTGTGGTTGTACTGAAGAAAGGCTATGCGTGTGAATTTGAGTTGTTTATAACACCAAACTTTACCACGACGATCGACAGTACAATCGCTATTGTTTCGAAGTCATACACAACTGGAGCAGAGACCATTAATAACATTAGTATCAAAGCATTCACAATGTTATCGACTCGACTTGACCCTTCAGAACTTCTAGAATGTAAGAAAATAGGAGAAGGTTCTTTTGGTATTGTCTATCGTGGCAAATACAGAAACAGTGATGTTGCAATAAAGAAAATGAAACTGTCTGCAGACATTGATGAAAACGGGATATTTGAATTTGAGAATGAGGTGAACATGCTCGACAAATTTCGGTGTGACTATATCGTCCATTTCTTTGGAGCAGTGTTTGTTTCAAGCGAGATGTGTATGGTCACCGAATTTGCAGAGTATGGAAGTCTTCAAGATTTGATACACAAAAAACACGTTCAAGACATCAACATGAAACTTCGAATAAAATTTGTATTAGACGCATCGAAGGGGTTACTTTATTTACACGAGAATGGGATATTACACAGAGACATTAAACCAGACAATGTCTTAATTGTATCTATGGACTATAATCATAAGTGCAATGGTAAGTTGACTGACTTTGGAAGTAGTCGAAATGTGAATATGTTAATGACTAATATGACATTCACTAAAGGTATTGGAACACCATCATACATGGCTCCTGAAGTAATGAATCAAGAGAAATATAAAAAGAATGCTGATATATACTCATTTGCCATGACGATGTATGAATGCTTCTCATGGTCTGTGGCTTACCCTCCAGAGGTTTTTAAATTCCCATGGAAAATAGCAGAGTTTGTGAGTGCAGGAAAAAGCCTTGAGAAAAGAGGTGATATGACAAGTAAAGAATATGAGCTAGTGTCGGAAACTTGGTGTCACAACCCTCTTCAAAGACTTGAAATAAACGAAGTCGTTTTAAAACTCGAAGAGATGTTTGTGAATGAGTAATTCACTGTTTTTTATTGATCAAACACGAGATATATTGTAATATATTATACTAATTATATTATATATTATATATATATATTATTTATTATTATAGAATAGATAAATATATTAAGTGAAGGGGAATTTTTAATAACAAATAAAAAATGGATATGCCGTTGCAATCTTATTTTTTGATATTTTCCCGAAACTATACAATATATTAATAGTAATAATTAAAAATGTTTAAAATATGAAATAAAAAGTGTTATACAAGAAAAGTCCGTTGAAAATGGATAATCAAAAATCCCGATAATTTGTATATAAACTAATAAACATAAAAAAGGAAAAATCGATTCGTAAACATTAAAAAAGACGAAAAATATTCTGTGGTAATGAAGAATATGAAGGGATGATATCCCGTTTTATCCCATTAAAAAGTTGCATACAATCACACTTAAAAAATATAAAATCAGACGAAAAGTTTTTTTTAGTGAGAATGTCTATAAAAAGGTGAAATAACAGCTCAAGTCATTCAATGATCGCACTTCTGGCGCTCCTCGTTGCTGCTCAAGCAATTGACACCAACGCTTTTAACAATCTGAGAATCTATCAGGTGATGGTCTCTTCATTCCAAGATGGTGACCCCAACAAGGGATATGGGACTGGCTATGGTCCATCAAGTCACAAAGGTGACCTCCGTGGTATCATCAATGCCCTTCAGTACATCAAGGACTTGGGAATGAATGCACTCTGGATGACACCAGTATTCAACTCAAATGGTGGCAGTCAGCTCGACTCGACTGGATACTTTGCTTACGACTACTTCAATGTCGATCCCAAATTTGGCACCAACGATGAGTTACATGAGCTCATCAACAAAGCACACGGTCTTGGGATCTACGTCATTCTTGATGGTGTTTTTGGACATCATAAGGGTGGCAATGTCGCGGCATCGCCAAGTGGGAAGTACCCATCTGGTGGAAGTGACCCAGTCAGCTATCCAGGCTCACTTGACTTCTACAAGGAAGTGGCAACTTACTGGATCAACAACTACGAGATCGATGGGTGGAGACTTGACCAAGCTTACCAAGTATCAACACGCAACCAGGACAGAAACTACTGGAAGGACATCAGAGAGGCCATTGAGTCGACTTGTGACTCACGAAAAGGACAAGGAAAGACTTGGGGTACACTTGGATACATGGTCGGTGAAATATGGGACTCAGTGAGCAACATCAACAACTGGGGGTATTATGCTTCAGGAGGATACGGACTCAGAAGTTGCTTCCACTTCCCAGGAAGATACAATTTGGTGCAGACGTTGGCGTGCGAAGAGTCAGGAAAGGGAGGTTATGATGCTTCCAACTTGAAGGGCATCTTCGATTGTGGCTACCCCGACTACGCTTATCCAAACCTTTTCATCACAAACCACGACTTACTCAGATTTGGCAATTTGATCAGAAAGAAATACGGATACTCACAAGGTAATAATGACTACTGGGGCAGACACAAAGCGGCACTTGCTTTCCTTGCTGCATACAGTGGACCAATCACCGTGTACTATGGTGATGAAGTTGGAGACATCGTCGACTGTTATTACAACCCAGGTGACTGCGGTGCATACAACGACAACGCAGCAAGAAGTGATGGACACATCTCAGGCTTCAACTCACAACAACAAGACTTGCACGACTACGTTGCAAAGTTGATGAAAATCCGAGCAGAGAATTCAGCATTGTTCAAAGGCTCAAGACAGAACCAAAATGCGAGTGGTGCACTTTTCAAAGTCGACAAGGTTGACGGGTCGAACAAAGTACAGATTCTTATCAACACAAACAACAATGAATATGACACTCAATGTGGGTCTGGTGTTGATTTGATTACAGGCAATAGTTACTCTGGAACTTGCCATATGAAAGCTTTCTCAGCCATCTTCCTTAAGATGTAATTCACTTTAATTATTCAATTGAATAGTTTTAAATAATAATCAAATTACTTAATGTCACTAATTTGTTTTATAGTAAAATAAAGTAGAAAAAATAGTAAAACTTTTACTATTCTTTTCTAAAACATTTAATTAAACAAAGTATTATTCATTGTTACAAATAAATAGTAAAATTGAATTCTATCAAATGCAACAAATTAACATCTTTCAAACACATGGTACAACTTCGCAACGTCCACTATTTGCGTGAGTGTTGTGTTCATCATCACTTTTTGTGGCACAAGCATCTTTTTGATATAAGGCAGTATGTTATGTTCTATTTTCATCGATAGTTGTTCGACTGTTTCATCGCCACCAACAACAGAATAAAACCATCCAACGGCTCTCGCTATCTCTCCCAGACACTTCTTTTCTTCTTTCCAATCAATGTCTCGGAGTTTATTGACAAAGAATGTGAGTCCATATGCATTTGGTGAGTATCCCCCCATCACATCGGGCATTCCTGTTATTTGTCCTCTTTCATTGATATGAATTTTGAAGTAGTTCTTCATCATGTCTTTATGTTTCACAATTTGTTCAATCAATTCGTCTTCTTTCACATTCTCTTCTTCTTCACTATACCCAACCTTCCTTGTCATCTTTAACAATTCTTTGATGGAAACTTCGGGTTCGATAACTAACATACTTCCACTCCCAATGGTGTATATCATTTGTTGATAAACCATTTCACATATCACACTCGACGTATGAACCAAATACAAACTCCCTCCCGATTGCGCCAAAAAGAATTCTTGATTGACTATCCCAACATACACCATATCTTTGACTATCATTAACATGTTAACAGCACTTTGTTCTTCCTCAAACTCCCTCCTTAACTCTTCAACACTTTTTAATCCACTTCGCACATATCCACTCGGTCGTCTTTGCAAAATCGCAGTGTCAACAGAATTATCCAACTTCGACATCGTCGTCTTCTTTTTACTTTTCTGTTGTTTCTCCGTTTTCTTCCTTTCAAGTTTCTCTTCTGCTGTCTCTGGCATCTTCTCCTTTTCTCTCAACTGTTGCAACTCACTCGCACTCATGCCCACGTCTTCATTCTCCTTTTTCCGCTCGTGGTTGTATTCGTCTAACTCCTTCTGAATATCAACTCCCGTCTTTTCATTGTCTTCATCCATCTCATTCTTATCAAAGAGAATCCCACTCTTGTCTCGACGTGTTTTCTTTAACACTTCAATTCTGTCATCATTCAGAAAACTTGTTATTGTGCTTGCTGTCGCGTCCACTCTCGACGGGAAACGCTGAGACAACTTGATTTGAAGTGGTTGTGTTTTGGCCTGTGTTGGGAAGAACGTTTTGACTTGTCCAAGCTGCGCCAAATTCACGTTGATAAATTTGTCAATTGCAGAAAGCACCTTTTCCTCCTCCAACAGCCTCACTGCTGTTTTACTCGGATTAACATTTGCGTCAATTCTCTCTTTCTCGACCTCCACAGACATGTACACAAAATGTGACACTTTTGGTATATTTTCTTCATATGACCTTTCGAAGATCTTCTTAAGTGCTGGAAATTCGACGTATCTGTTATTGATGAACAAGATGAAGATATTCTTTTTCCCGTCGTATCCCGAGTCACTCAAAAAGAGGTCCATAGAGAATGGTGGCTCTTCATTTTGCTTGGAGAATTGGTGTAACGTTTCTGCTGTTCTTATTGTGTGAATTTTTGAGATGTTTGCCAGAATAGTGGATTTATTATTCGTTTTAATGTCACACGACGCGGTACCACTTTTTCGTAAAGTGAATGAAATGAGTGCGTTATGTATCGCATAGTTCCCTACTACTTCTATAATCCGCGAATACTCTTCCCCTTCTTTCATCCCTCTCTTTCTCGGCATATTCTTGAATAAATCCTCAACTATTACTATGGTCCCAACCTCCCCCGCTGTTGGTTGAATATCTCCTTGTATTTTACCATCACTGATCACCACTTTGTAAGCTACTTCACTCATTGCTTGTCGCGTTGTTATCGTCACTTTAGCTAAATAAGTCATACACGACAAAGCTTCCCCTCGATATCCATATGTGTCTCCTCCGATGTTTTTCGATGTCATGTACCGCTCTCCTACCATTTTCAAGTCTTCAGGCTATTTGTTACTTGTTGTATATTTTATGATGTCGTATATATTGTACGTCATCTACACTAACAAACAGAAAATCCAATACCATTGTCTATCACTGAGATCTGCGATAAGCCACCTTGCTTCACAGAAACGTTGATTGTAGTGGCTTTGGCATCTATGGAATTTTCAATAAGCTCTTTAACAACGTTGTAAGGACGCTGTATCACTTCGCCAGCACCAATTTTGTTAATTGTTGTTGTGTCTAATCTTCGGATCTGTGCCATGAGTATTTTGTTCTTCTCTTTCTTTATACTCTTTGGAATTGTTATTATCATATTTCCTCAATCATTGGTATACTATAAATTATACCATATTTAATTATTATATTTTCTAATAAAAAATTGAACGTTAGTTTTTGGATTTAAAAAATTTAATTGTACTTTTTATCAAGAATTGTTAGAAAAATATTATGAAGTTAATACTTTAAATTAAAAAAATATTATAAGTGAAATTCTATATTATAGTTTGTTTATATTAAAAATAACAATTGGACCTTTTGTGTTTCTCACATTTTGTATTTTTTTTATATAATTATTATTTGTTAAAAATATATTATTATGTAATAATCACTTTATTATTAATTAATTAAATTATACCATTATTGTAATGAAAAACAATAATAGTTAAAATTATTATACAAACAATTATATTTTAATATGGTTTAAATAATATACTTTTAAGAAGTTAATAAAAGAAATAAGTTAATTCTAATGTAAAATAAATATAGCCTATAACTTTATTTAACTAATATATAAATAGATTTCAACCCATTAATGATTAGTTAAAAGTTTAGTAATTTTCATATAAAAAATACTAAACAATGAATTACAAATTGGAGTGAACAATAGATGAAAAAAATTGAACAGAAACGGGCATATAATCCATATAATTAACAAATACAAAACCCAAAATAATACCAAAGTCAAAAATACTTTGAGAACCCAAACTGAACTAGTAAAAAAACGAGAAGAAATAAAATGCCATTACAAATCTTGAAATCAAACATATGGACGTTGTAGGTTTATGTCAAGTCAAGTCCACAAATCCCGATGCACTTTATATTGAACGTGGTGATATTATAAATGTTACAGAAATAACAACATCGGGGCTCTGGAAAGGTAAAAGTGCACATGGGAGTGGACTCTTTTCTGTTCTTTCAACCACTCTTGAGCGTCCTCCACTGTATCAGTTCGTTATTAAATTATTATAGTACATGTATAGTACAAATTACTTCTCATAATAAGTGACCATTAGAGGGAAAGTTCTCTATGACTTTGTAATGAAAAACAGTGAATGTTTATCCGTTCATTCGAATGATTATGTCACAGTATGTGAAGAAGATGGTGAAGAGGATGGGTGGGTTTTCTGTAAAATAGGAACGCGCTTTGGATTTGTCCCAAAGAAGTACATTGAACGGATTGACTTTACTAAGAACATTGGGAAGAATCGAATGCGAATGACACAACAAGTCTCTGTCGCTTCACATCTTCCATCGCGCCTTCCATGTAAAGTGATAGGGAAATATGAGTATGTTGCTTCCTATGGGAAAGATATTAGTTTTCATAAAGATGATGAAATGGTGTGTTTATCAGCGAGTGACAATCGATGGATCTTAGTCATTCATCCTGAGTATGGGATAGGGTATGTCCCTTTATTATATGTCACTTGTGATAAAAGCTTTCTTACTATGGAAATTCACAAATTTGCTGTTGCCCTTTATGACTTTGAAGGGGAGTCTCGATTCCATTTGAGTGCACAAGTGGGGGATGTGATGTATGTAGAATCTGTTATTGGGTCATGGGCTATAGTACGAGTGAATGAAACGAAATACATCTACCCGTATTCCTTTTTACATGTCTTCGAAGATGAAAACGACCTCAAGATATCGGAAAGTCTTGGGTTTATTCTCGAGAAGTTTACTCCAGTAAATGAGAACGAAATTGAAGTGAACAAAAATGATTTTGTAGTTATTTTACTGAAAGAGACGAATGGATGGACACTAGTGAGGCATGACAATAAAGTGGGATACGTCCCTACTGACTTCATTGAAAAAATAGATGAAGGTGATCGTTATGCAATGATCACTTGTAAGAGTCAATGTGAGGTATTTGAATATGCAGAAAAATTCAAAAAGACTGAGACGAGTACTGAAGAAACAGTGAAAGGACAAATAGAAGAAAAAGAAAAGACTGAGGTACAAGAAGAACAACAAACAGAAGAAGACACGACGGTATCAAAAGAATCAATTAAAGAAATCGAGAGTGTTATTATAGAAGAGACTAAAGACCAATTTGAGAGTATCGAAAACAATCAACAAGAAAATACCGAACCCACCGAGTTAAAAGAAGAAGAACAAGGGACTCAAGATGAATCACCAAAAGAAGTCATTCAAGATGAAAAAAGTCAAAGTGATGAAACAAAAGACACGACTGATGTACAACTCACGGTGAATACTCAACAACAAATAACAAAAAAGAAAATAGAAACAAGTGAAGGTGATATTTGGATTGTATTTAAAAAAATCGATGAAGAGACTTTTGTTGGGAAACGAGGACCACTTCTTGTAGTTCTTTTTTTGAACGACGTTGAGTTAAGAAATTTGGAGAAACCGATGAATCCGGAGTATGAAAAGGGGAGAAAACGATTGGAAGACAAAGAACGTGAGTTTGAAGAGAACGTCAAACTTCACGACGAAAAGGAGAAAGAACGGAAAAGAGCGGAAGAAGGACAAAAGGCGGAAGAAGAACTCAAACAAAAGAAAGAAACTGAAAAAGCGTTTTTAAGACAGACCATGCAACTCAAGAAACAACAAACGCGAGCAACTGGATTCAGAAAAGAAGGGTTTAAACGACCAAATGTTATTGATCCACAACAACTTGAATTGACAAAGTCGTTATATGAAGAGAGTTTACTTGACAAATCAAATGAGAAAGTTTCGAGTGATTTGACCAAAATAGAACAATTAAAAATCGAGTTGAAGAAGGACCATATGAACAAAGAAATTATCGAAAATGGCATCAAAGAAATCCTTGCACAAAATGGAAAACTCAAGAAGAGAACTACTGACTTGGAAGATGGCGGAAAAGCTATTTTGAAAGTCATCGAGACACTTAAAGATGAATTGAAAAAGACTCGAGAAGCAAAGGAAAGTAAACAAACGTTTGTACCTGTCGATCCAACCAATCAAAGCTCTACAACTACTACAGACATCATAACTACTCCAAATACAGTGCAACCACAGACAAAAAGATTTGTGGGGAGAACACGAACGGATTCTGAAACAAACAGTCTTAGAGCACAAATAGAAGAACTCAAAAAAGAGGTGGAGGAGCTCAAAAAGAAAGACCAAGCAATTGTAAGTGTGGAGAATCCCAATTTAACAGTAGATGGTGTTAAAGAAGAAGAAATTGTCGTTCAAAACAAAGAAGTTAGTGAAGATAATGTCAATGGAATTTGCAAAGACAATGTTAAAATAACAGAAGAAGAAAAGAAAGACGAAACTAGAGAAGATAGTAAAGAAACTATAACTGAAGGTACCAGTGCAACTTTAGAAAAGGTCGAACAAATTGTCGATAACACTGTTGGAATTGAACCAAGTAATGAACAACCTAATGTTCAACAAGAACAACAAATCACTGAAACACCTTTTAAAGATGAGCGCGACAACCAAATTAAAACTTTGATGGACGAGAACGAACAATTGAAAAAAATGATAGAGGAACTTCAAAAGGTCCCACTAAAAGAAGAACAAGCAAAGGGAGGAAATGACGACAAGAAAGTCGACACACAAGCAGAACCATTAAAATCAGTCACTGGACCAGGTTCATTAATTAGCAGTGAAAACACGTCTTTTATATCTTTCGAACCATCATCGGGTGAACAAAGCCAAGATGAAGGAGCTTCTTCTGATATAGAACTCCTCAAGAAACAACTTTCTGAAGAGAAATTGGAACACAAACAACTCAAACAAGAGTTCCAAAACTTCAAAATGAAGAACGAGTCAAAGTCATCACAATTGCGAAGACAAACAGTTCCAGTCAAACCAATTGAAGTCTCACCAAATGTCACACAAGCGGAATTGATCGAATTTGAACACAAAATTGAAGAGAAGGTCAAAGCAATTAAACAACAACTCTCGAAGATCACAACACAAACAAACAAATTGAGCAGACAGTCGAGTTTAACTAACATCAATTCACTTAAAACAGAAACAACGGAAAAGTTGGGTGTTTATAAGGACCAACTCAAAGTTTTAGAGCGGAAGTTATCGATGATGAGTAAGTCTCAGAATTTCTAATTTCAGTATTACTATTTGTATTGTTTATAGTATCACTCTCACTGACATTTTTTAACTATACTTGTAACAAAATAATGGTTACTTTAATAACTATACAATTAATAATAATATAATTAATTTAAGAAAATCAATCATATAATAAATATATAGTTTATATATAAAAATATAATTAATAGTAAGATATTATATAGAAATCATAATAAACTATAACTGATAAAGGAAATTTACTATCGTAAAGTAATACTATTAATTTACTATGAAAGTAGGAGAACAAAATTTTAATAATAAACCAATAAAAAACTAGATACAAAGAAGATATACAAAAAAGTCGTGACCCAACCGAGAGGAAAGGCGACGATTTCAACACAGCGATTTTAAGACGCTGTGTTGGTAACCGTAATGACACTAATAAGATCGTTTAGAGGAATTTAATAGAAGAATCCAAGGATTTTTCCACCAGTATGTTTGGCTCTGGCTTCAGTGTTATCCATGATACCCATAGATGTTGTGTAAACAATAGCACCAAAGTGACGGGATGGCAACAAGTTGGCTTCCCAGCTGTCGAACTCTTCAACAGCAACGTTGTATCTTGGGGAGATGACAGCGCATTTGTTAAGTCTTCCGTTCAAGTTGACAACGATCTTTCCCGATCTGTGGTCGTCGACGATAGTGTAATCAGTGATGTACTGGTGTTTCATCATGATATTCAAAAACTCACAAATGACCTTTGATGACGGTCTGATGAGAACTTGGCGTTTGCCAGCTCTCTCAGCATTGGTGATTGATTTCAACGCATCAGCAAGTACATTCACTCTGACCATGTCTTTGGCAAATAAGTTCGGTCATAGGGTTCCTTATATGTTATTATATAATAGTTTCAATTCTTTCTTTCTAATAATAAGGGTTTGGTTTTACTATAATTTATAGCACGGTTATTATATTTTTATAGTTTTGGTCTTTTTTAATTATTGGAGTTGTCAAATACAAGAAACTACAAAGTAAATACTGCAATTAAGAATTTGAATGTTTTGCACCTCTGGTGTATGTACGATTTGAGTTATTGTGCAAGCTTTAGTTTAGGCACATTTCAAAGAAACACTTGTTGCCAACACACAAACTATAATTAATAATTAATAAAATATACCAAATAAATAATAAATACAAACAACACATTTCTATTAAAAAACAAAGGTGTCTTCATTGACATCTGCAGAGCACATTAACATAGATTTCTCACCTTTATGTTGTTTAGTAGGTGAATAAAATGCAGAATTAGAAGGTGAAGACGACAAGCTGTTGCTTGAGCTATAAGCATTTCTTGACAAACTATTATGAGATCTAGACTTGATCTGTTTCTTTCTTGGAGTCGACTTAGCTCTTGTCTGTCGAGTAGCTGGGGTTTGCAGAAACTCGGCGCCTTGTTGTGTGATAGTACCAAACTTCTGCATGAGTGGTGCACAGACATTAACTATCACTGCGTAGTCAATTCGCTTCACTGGGATTTTTTGAGCCAACTTTTTGTCGACTTCAAATTTCTTTTTAAGTAAGTCGAAAAAGGTAGACAAGTCGATACATTCGACTGAAGGAAAGTCTCTGAAATACGACTTGATCATTTGAAGAGTGAACGACTCGTTGATCTTCTTTGAGAAGGACATAAACTTCTCAGTGATAATGATAAACTTCTCATAGATTTCATCTTCAACACTCACAAAATTTTCAAAGACGACTTCTTGTATTCGTATTAAAGTGTGAGAACACAAGAAAAGATTCTTCAAAATGATTTCGATGAAATCAAGACTTGTTGGAGTGTCATAGTAAATGTCCTCAGTCAAGTCAATGGACAACAAGTCTTCAGACATGTCATCAACTCGTTCTGCTATAGATACAAAATTCATTTTAGTTCTAATACTACAATAGGTGTTGTTCCATAGAGGTGTGTCTGCTGTGAGTGTCGTTTTGTTGTTTACTAATAACAAGATGTGGTTGTCAAGATACTTTGCAACAGCCAAATTCAGAAGAGAATGTTCGTCTTCTTCGATGTTCAATTGTTTCAAATAAAAAGGTGTAGACATATCCGTGAATACTGAAAACACTGTCTCGGCATATTTGGTAAAGATCGTCCGCATCATGAAATAAAGAAAATGAGTAAATTGCTTTCGTGTAAATTTCTGATTAAATCGCTTCAATAAAGCTTTTTTAAATATTTCTGGGCAATCAAACTTCCCATCTATAAAGTCGTAGATCTTCTTTATGTGTTTCTCTTTAACTTGAGCATTATCATCTCGTGTGATTTTCTCCACTTCAATTTCTATTGGAGTTAATACAATACACTGTAATCTCTCTTTAAAGGACATCCAATGTGTTCAAAGTTTTTGGACTTCCAATTTATAATGAAAAAAAGGTATTTTAAAATCAAAATAAATATTTACAATAAAAAACAAGCTTTTGTTTTTATTTTGTTGTTCGATTCACTCGAGTTTGACGTAAATTGGTTGGTGTTTGGCGGTATATTTTCTTCGTCTTTTTGGGATTTTGCGTGTCGGAACTTTCTTTGACGTGATTGTGTTTTTTTAAAGGTAAATTTAGAAACACAGTGATTTTATATGATGTGTTTTTATTGTGGATTTTGGTGCAAAATACAAAGATCTCAAAAAATAATCAAATGCCATTTTTAAATTTATTTGGGTATCATTATTTTTTATTATTTAATAGTATTGATTTAACTTGAAAACTTCCATAGTTATAACACAGGGTAATAAAAGTTATTCGATAAAAACTATATATTAACTAATTAATATAGTTCGTTATTTTTACTAAATGTTAAAAAAAATAATATTTTTAAAATATTATAATTTAATTGTTATTTTTTTATATATTTTTTTAAAGAAATAATTAAAATTTATATTCAACAATTGCTAGTAATTATTACATTGTATTACAGTATAGAATCGGGAATTTTTTCGAAATCATAAAAAAATTAAATTACTTATTTTATAGATCAATACTTCCAAATGGATAATTCTTTTTTTAATAAAATATTTGAATACATCAAACTTATATTTTGTAAATCTATTTTTGTCAAATACAACAAATTTACAATTCCAGAAAAATCAAAACATCAAAAATTTGTCGAGATTATCATGATTAAAAAATCATATTTAAATTTATAAATTAGTAATTTCATTTTTAATAAATTATTTTAAATATACACTAGTTTAAATAACCAAGTTAAATACAAAGATTAAAATAATATAACAGTAGGAGGAAATATGGGGATGCAAGAGAAAAAAGGATGATCGTAACTATTGGTCAATTTTAATTGAAAAATAATAAAATTACTATTAAATTTAATATAAATTATTAATCAAAAAATATAAAAAATGAAAAAACCAAAATATATTTATATTAATTATTTATTATTAATAATATTAAATTAATTAATATTTAGATTAGCATCCCCCTTTTTCCTTTAACTGTATATTTTATTGAATATTTTTCTTAAACAATTTTTAATAGAATCATTTAAATTAACTAAAAAATAGTCAAATACTATTTTTATATAATTGAAATAAAAAAAGAACTGAAAATATATAGGATGAAGCGTTAAATAATCCAACAAACAGTTCAGTCAAAAACCGAAAATTGGACCGATTCCCCATAATGTATTGTGCTTCATATAACTTACTATTTCAATTTAATTTTATAATAATTTTTGGTTATAAGTAGTATTAGAGGGGGCACGAAAAAATTTTGGTTATCGCGCACGTTTCAAAGTAGTTATAACGATTCCATCACCGGCGCTACTAACGCAAATTTAAATCTATTATTTCTTATTCACTCTGATTATAACGATTCTCACAATACTTCAACATTCATTATAAAGTATTCTCAAGTCACACTTCAATACAAAAACGAAATCATTGAAATTAAGAAGAACGTGGTGTACCGTGGGGATGTCTTTATGACTATTTAACACGTCATTATGACTTTACACAATGTGTCGACTTTTCGTTCCCATTTTTATAGTTTTTAAATGGCTTTTGAATTAGTGATTTTACTATTCCACAATTCCATTGTCACTGTGTTAGACACAGAGGTTGTCATTGTTTTACTATTAGTATTGTTACATTATTAGATTCTTATAAAATTTGAATTTTTTTAAACATCTTTTGGGAAATGGTAACCATCCACACATTGGAGTTTGTCCGGATTTATAGAGTGGTTTATGACATTTTATTCGATGTGTAACCAGAACAAAAAATGCTTATTGCGATATTTTCCCGTTTGTCTGGCTAAAATATGAGCAACATTTGTACTTTTTATGGTATTTTTAAAAATCTAAAACTTTTTTTTTGATTTGATAAAAATAAAAACGGCCAATTTAGTTTTTGTTTACAAATATTAAGTCTTCGTTTGTATATTTTTACTATTATAAACTTCTATTCTTGTTAACATTATACGATTTGTTTTATTTTTATTATTGAATTACCAAACAAACAATACAATTTATTATTTTATAATATATATTGAAGATTTGATCTCATTCAAATAAAATTGAACTTTCCATTTCCCTTTGGTGACAACAACGAAAGAAAAAGAATTTACTTTTTTTTTGTTCAATTATGTACAATTGATCTTATATATAAGGTAAATCTTCGCATTAAACTATTTATTTGATGCAGAGTTTATTTTATTTTACAGTTTGCGTATTTTTTATTTGTTTTTGATAACCAATATAAAAAAATGCCACAATTCAAAAAATCATTTGCACTTTGAATTTTCATTTTAATGACATATTTTTGTCGGCAAAAATGAGATAACGTTACCAATTCACTAGGTATCTTTATAGATGTGAGTTATCGGATAATTAATGGCTCTACTATACAATCAAATAACGGGATAAACCCGCCATTTTTTGTGCAAGTCAAAATGCGAGAACTATTTCTCCTTTTTCCAAAAGCGGCAGTTTTCCACGTCGCTCTTTTCTTGTTTTTATATTTCACTTTAGTTGTTAACCTCCCAGAAAAGCATTTTTCTCCATCAACAAAACAATAAAAATGCGAATTTGGGAAGATAGCAAAGTGTTGAATGACAATAAACGGAATTTGCCGGAATGAGCATCGAGTTGAGTTGGGAACTGAAGAGGAGCTCTAAAACAAAAATTGTGAGCAAGAAGGAAAAGGAAAAACAAAGAATTGTCGGGTATTTAAGAATTCTCTGAACTTGAAAAGGTTGTAATGCTTGATTACCTTTTATCCATCTATATCCTTGTCTGTTACTTTGTATCCGTCATTGGTGGGTTTATTCCATTTTTCATCAAATTTCTCCCAAACAGAAAACTAGCTGGGGACATCTTAGATGTGTGCAGTGCGTCAGCCGGTGGGTTATTTTTGTCTGGTGGGTTGATGCATATGTTAGCTGAAGGGACTGATTTAATCGATAAGTCGGGGTATGATTTTATGGGATTACCTTTAGGATTCTTCTGCTGTGGATTATCGTTTTTATTCATTTTCTTCTTTGACCGTGTTGTAGCGACACATGGGGGGCATGTTTCCTTTGCTCAAGTTGAGTCTCCACGCGGGTTTGTTCTATATATATTATTATATTTACTATATACTCTATATTAATAAATATATTAGAAATATATTATATTTAATAGAATATATTGATACCAGTCAGAATAACAAGTAGTGAAGTCGTCCAACCCCTCTTAACTGATGCTGAAGAGAAGAAGAAAGAGCCGGATGAAAAGAAAAAGCAAAATGAAATTCAGTCTCATCATCATCACGAAGAAGAAGAAGAAGGGAATAAAGGGTGGTGTTCGATCATCACACTTATTTTTGCATTGTCGATTCATTCCTTTTTCGAAGGACTTGGACTCGGTGTGTCGACGAGTCCAACTGCCATATTTATAGCCATTGCTGGGCATAAATGGGCAGATTCGGGGTTCACTGTCATCTTTTTGATGAGTAAAATTCAGAACCTCTTGATCATCTCCATCATCATATTGATCTTTTCGACATTCACTCCAATCGGTTCTCTAGTTGGAGTGTTAATAGTTGAATTGATGGGGGAGTCTCCAGTATCTTCATTGATACAAGGGTTACTGATCTGTTTAGCTGCTGGTACCTTCTTGTACGTAGCAATCGTTGAAATTCTAGCCGAGCAGTTTGAGAATGGCAAATACAAATACATCAAGTTCACTCTTGCTGTCATCTTGTTCCTTGCAATGTCTTTTGTTACAATGCTTGAGGGCGACTAATGTTTCTTGACTGTCAATTTTACCATATAAAATTAGTAATTTTATTAATTTTGTTGCTATTGTGGTCCAGGAGGAAGTATAGTAAATTGGTAAGTTAAATATAATATCTATTAGTTCGAAGGAAAACATAGAAAATCAAATAGTAATTAATTGGTTCCATGCTACAACATGACGACCAAGACCAGCAGTGTATAAAACACTTTCATCTTTACTAAAAGATGAACAGACTTGAAGCCTTAAATGCTCACGTTGGATGATGTCAGTCCCTATTTTCAACTTCCCATGGCGAAGACCGTTCGGGTCTATGATAATGAATGACTTGTCCTCCGATTGGACTAAAAACTTGTCATTGACGGACATACTAATTTTAGAGGGATAGTACACTTTATACGTCGCCTTTGGTGACTTCATCATTTTAGTGTCCCACACTTTCACGACTTTATCAAATCCGGAAGTCACTAGAGTCTTTCCTTGCTCTGCAAATTGTGCAGACAAACAGGATCTATTATATTATTATTATATTATTATAAAATATATATAATTCTATTTTTATCTAGTTAAATAATTAGTAATATTAATTATTACTATTTATATAATTAATTATAAGTCGAATAACTATTACAAGAACAAACTCGGAGTGTGCGTTAATACACTCGATTCGGGTGTGATTTGGAGTTCTTATATCAAAGAGTCTGAGTGTCCCATCAGTTGCTGTGGCAGATAGGATTGGGGAATATAAGTCGCAAGCCAATGAAGTAAGTCTTTCTGAGACAGGAATGGATGAACTGATTGAAGATATGTGTTCTCCATGCAAATCATAGACGCCAATGATTCCATCCCAACTTTCTGCAATGAACGCGTCGTTATTAAAAGAGACGCCAATTGCAATTTCGCCGACTTTCTGCTCAACAACGGGTTGCTCCTCTTTCATGTCTTCTTCATTCAGATTTCCGACTTTATAAATTCGTGCAATTCCATCGCCACAAGCAGTGGCCATAATGTGTTCACTCGGATGAAACGCGACTGATGTCACAGGACGTGGATGCGGAAAAAACTGAAGACATTTCCCCGACTGTGCCGTCGATATCCTCGCTGATCTATCCGAACTTGCCGTTGCAAACGTGCTCACGTCCCAAGGACAACAAGCGATGTCAAACACACAATCTCGATGTGACAAGTAGCTATGTAAGAATTTCCAGTGTGCGGTTGTTTTCTTCTACACGTCAACTTTCTATTGAAGAATTGAGACCCACCAACAAACGCTAACATAATGGGAGTAGACGTTCTTCGTTGTTTTTGGCTTTTTTGTGTCTATCGTTTCTGACTGATAAAATTTCACATTCCTCACATTCGGTTGGACTTTCAGTGCCTCCAATTGAGCAATAACTTCATGTCAATACATATGGTGAAATCAGAAATTAATTTATTATAATACCATTTCGCGTCTGTTGTGTTCAGTGATTGTAAATAAATGATATTGTTAGAAAAACTCGATACAAACGCGCTTTGTTCTCTTCATACAATAAATTGTACTCCTTCAGAATGTCATTCAGTAAGTCGGCAAACCTCTCAGTACCAGCGTTCGTCTTCAAAATTATTGGCGTCGTAGGGACATCCGCTGAGTGATCTTCCACCGTTGTGTCTCCCATCTTTTTTTATGATTTTCAAAGTTCTTCCAATTATCAATAATTCTGAAGTATTTTTTATGTTTTAAATACTAAACTGAAATATTTCAATTTCAAGTTTTCAGCACGGAAACTCTTCCAAAAAAATAACAAATCGTTTGTTTACATACGAAATACGGTAAAAAGCATCATTTCTGCTCAAACATCGCCCTGAGATTCTTCACATTAACCGCGGGCTTCTCAACCTTCGCAGCTTCTTCTTTTTTCTCCTCCTCCGCTATTTTCTCGGAAGAGCTCCCTTCCTCGACATCGGGACTTCCAGTGCCTTTCTTCTTTTTCTTATCAGTTTTCGCTGGTCTTGGAGATAATCGGGGCGTCTTCATATCATCACTGTCCCCCATCGCAGCAACCAACTCGCTCAGCGCCTTCGGGTCACACACAAGTCTGTTGAAACAGTCATCACAAGCTCGTTCAAGGGTCGTACCACTCGTCTTCAACCGATTTTTACTGCAGCTGTCACACACACATCCGCCACAAAATCGGCAATGGTGTCTACGCCTCATAACACCAAAGTCTTTGTGGCATCTCATACACTCTTTTGCTTGGTCATCAGGGACAAACACGGGCTTCATTGCAGCAATTTTTTTGTCCCCTCCCTTGTCCGAGATGTTCGCTTGTTTCAACAACACAGAGTTTTTCTTACAGTTGTCAATCGTTGTTGTCAAATCTTTTAACCATTCCGCTTTTTCTGCGTCGTCTTTTGCAAACACAGTAAACGAACGGGTGGGCGAGAAAATGTCAAATTGCATTCCTTGTCCATCGCGTATGTCCGTTTCAAAAAGGCTCAACACAAACTCAACTTCTCTCTTTTTCGGTGCGGTATAAAACAACAAGTCTGTGCACAGCACAAAGTAACGGGGTTTTGGCGCCTTCCTGCACTGTTTACTCAAAATACCATCTCGTACCAACTTTCGTCCAATGGTCAGATCGCCACCAGGGAAGTCGACTTGCTGCGAAATTTCAACCAACCTCCTGAGCTTTTCTCCCTGTACCATGCACTGGTTGACAAGAATGGCGACTTTTTGGATCTCCTCCAAGACCTTTTTGAGTCGTGTAAAGTCTGGGAAATTTTCTGGTGTGTGTTTCATGAGGTCTGTAAAAAGGAGTACATACCTTGGAAGTCTCTGGATTGGCATGATAAGGTAACTTCTGAGATCCAGCTGATTGGAAGCTTTAATTTTTTGTCTCAAATCCTCCAAGTGTTGCACAACGATTTTGTCTTGTTCGAGTTTTTTAAGTACTTGCAAGCAGTTGTCCTGATTTGAAGCGAACTGAGTATAGCTTTTCAAGAATGGAATAAATTTGATGAACGCACCTCCGAGGTTTGTGTAAAGCGTCCCACGAGTTTGAACCTCCTTCAGTTTTTCGACCAAGACGGAGTTTACGGAAATGATTTGCTGAAAGTGTAGGAACAAGATCATGACATCTCCCCCAACGATGGTGGGTGGGTTTTCTTCCATTAAAGGCTTCTGAAAGTACGTGATGCAGTCTTCCAGTGATTTGACATATGAAACTTCGGTCGAGAAGATTTCGTCAACAATATGCTTTCTGTGGTTACTTTCCTTTGGGTCTGTAATGGTTGAGCACCTCATTGTTTGCTTTCCGAGATTCAACTTCTTCGTTTCATTTTTACTTGTTTTTTCCAAATTCCCAAAGATGAAAATTTGAGAAAAACATCTCCCAAATATCCCGTCTTTCTGTACAAACAATCTCCCTGTGAACTCATGTTGTCATTCTCCCAACAACTTTTTATGATGGTATAAATAATGGCTTTTCTTCGTTTTTTAAGTTTAAAGTTTTTAAAAGTTTGATTAATTATTAATTAATGCCGACTGTTATTATAAATCTATTTTTTACTTATTTATTTACAATTTTTAAATTATAATTTTAAGATTTTTTGAAAACTACGGCATTTTTTGCTATATATAATAAACATTTTTTCTTTTGGCACTTTTATTAATTTTTTCTTATATTAGTAAGTTATAGTTTCCATATGGTATAATTATAGTACATGACACGTATATTAACGCGATAATTCCATCAAATCAATTTTTACTTTGAATTTTTTTTGTGAAAAACTGCCAAATTATATGTTATTATAATAAATAATAAAAATGCGCAAATTATACCTTAAACTATAATTCTAAATTATGAAGAAGCTAACAGACAGACAAGACAATCGAGTTAAAGAGCACTTGGGAGTTTCTGGACGGTGAATTTGTGGTTTCCGACCATCATGATAGGGACCCCAGGGATCTTTTTTAATCTTTGTCTGAGGTTAATATCGTTAGTGCATACAATGTAAACTCTATGAGCGGTTACTCTCTCGATTATACAGTCATCAGCGTAATGTCCCTTATGTGTACAAGTGAGTCGTTTAAAGCGTGGGTCTCTTGCTAAGATGAGCGCCATCTTAAATTTCTTCCCCAATATTTCCAACTCAGCGTATACACAATCGGGGACGTAAC